AAAAAATAACTGATACAATAAAATAAGACCTTCACAGATATGAAGTGACACTTTCCCACAGTGCCACAGATATGAACACTATATTGAATAACATATCATGGAGATATAGGATCACAGTCATTTATAAATAGTCCTCAGCGTCATTTGTTACATTAAGATTTTCTACAATGTCTTTGTATGATCCCACATTTGTTTCAAATATTGCTAACTTTCCTTTTCTAAAACATGTAACTCTTTCAAGGGGAAATGCTATCAGCATTTTTATTTTACCCAAAGCATCAGCTTGAACTTTTTTTTTTCCACTAAATTGCAATTGTTCTCGTTGCTTGTAAAAGACACATATCTATCAGTACTTTTTTCATTCTTTGTAAACGCATGTTTTCCTAAATAAAAAAGTGTATATCCTTAGATATAGTGGTCTCTACTACTCCTTTAACCTCAGGACATCCCCAACACGCAGTGGAGCAATGTCCCTTTACCACCTAGTACATACATCAGGTACATTTACTCTTTTAACACCTAGTACATACATCAGGTACATTTACTCTTTTAACACCTAGTACATACATCAGTACATTTACTCTTTTAACACCTAGTACATACATCAGTACATTTACTCTTTTAACACCTAGTACATACATCAGGTACATTTACTCTTTTAACACCTAGTACATACATCAGGTACATTTACTCTTTTAACACCTAGTACATACATCAGTACATTTACTCTTTTAACACATAGTACATACATCAGTACATTTACTCTTTTAACACCTAGTACATACATCAGGTACATTTACTCTTTTAACACCTAGTACATACATCAGGTACATTTACTCTTTTAACACCTAGTACATACATCAGTACATTTACTCTTTTAACACCTAGTACATACATCAGTACATTTACTCTTTTAACACCTAGTACATACATCAGTACATTTACTCTTTTAACACCTAGTACATACATCAGGTACATTTACTCTTTTTACATACATCAGTACATTTACTCTTTTTAACACCTAGTTCATACATCAGTTACATTTACCACCTAGTACATACATCAGGTACATTTCCATTATAACTATTCCATTTTTCTGATGTCTCATTCGTTCTCATGAGCCACTTGGATTGTAGGAGACTGTTGCACTAATATGTGCTTTTGCTGATTCCCAATCCTCTTTTACAATATTTGTTTCTAAATCCTCATTCCAAGCCTTCAATCTTAAATCAGAATTGTCAGTTGAATTCAGATATTCTGCTCAAACTATTTTACTTTTCAGAGGTTTAGTTAAACTATCTTGATTAGATCTGCTGAAGCCTCTAAGCTGAAGAAATTTTAAAATACTATGTTTTATGTCTTTTTAGTAAAGAAATTTAACGTACGCTTAATTTAGATACCTATGTATATAAAGTGATCCATTACTTTAAAAGTTATAGCTTGTGAATTTTTAGATTCTCTCTCATTAAGCAATAGAAGAGATGTTGATTTATTAATTGTATAACCCTATGTTTTACTAAAAGCACTAATCAAATCTATAATAATTGGCACCTTACATCCTTACAGGCCATTAGAGTATCTAGGTTTTGGTTTATAAAGGTGTATCTTTTTAAACCTTTTAAGCCCGCTGCCGAAAGACAGCTTCTGTCCTCCCTGGAACAAAACACTGATTTGCCCAAATCAAAGTATATAGAGACAGGTTACAACGCTCTTTTACATGTTTGTGTACTTTAAAACAGATTTTAATCATGTTCTTAATGATTGGGTTGTTACTTTTTTAGCAGATTAGAAACTTTGAGTATAAAAATGTGGTAATCGTAGATTCAAACCTTCAGACTCCATTTCTCTCCACTACTGGAAAGATTTGGATATAGGAACAATTTTTAAATGGACTTGGTTGCTTTATCTAAACTCTAAAGCAAAAGAAAAAACAAACAAAAATATTCCCTGTATTACGGTGTTTTCTCTTATGTGTTATTACATCTTCTCATTATCGTGATTGGTTGGGAGATATTTTTGTTTGTTTTTTCTTTTCAGCTGTGAGCTGGTGCTTTTCACATGTGCCCGAGTCGTGATGAAAACACAGGGTGAGTTAGCGACAAAGTTTACACCGTTTACATTTGACACAAAGTATAGACACACGCACTGCAGCGCATTACTGTCTGTAGTTTATGAGCAGAGATGGGACAACTCCGTTTTGCTCCCATTGAAAACCATATAAATCTTGTCTGTTTTGTAGTCAAAAGGCTCTCCTCCTGTGGGTGTACAGGAGATATATATACACATATATATATTATAGCTCGTAGTGTGAAAAAAATATTTAAGTATCTCACGAAAAAAGGAAAATGAACTGAACTTTGAACTAGTTCAGAATTAAAAATGTGAACTTTGAACGTGAACTGTTCACTTTGAGCATGTATGAACTGAACTTGAACTAGTTCAGAAAAGCTGTGAACTGGCACAACACTGCCTCAGGCAAGACACTTGACCCACATGGCCTAGAAAGAGTCTGGATACTGGATGTCTCACGTCTGTTGGTTTGCCACAGGGAAGCCGTTGCAACAGTAGTGGCTTACTTAAAGAGCGACTAAACACCTGTGCCCAGCCTTACTCCGCCCACATGAACATTTGAAAAGCTTCTTTTAAAGTGGTTCTCACCCCCGCTCCTCGGAGCTTACGTTACTCACATTTCCTGTTCAAATCTTCCTCTAAATGGGCGTAGCCTGGAGGACTAAAGGGGGCGTGAACGAGACTGGGCCGTTTACATTGCTCTGGGCGGGGGGCTGCTGACGTCAGGTCCAACTTGCAGACGTCAGGTCCAACTTCTGTGCCAGTGTTGGCGCCAGATTCAAAATTCAATTGTAGTAATACAGGTCGCCAGCAGATGGCGCCTCACAGACGGTTTTAGGCAGAAAGTCTAACTTTCAACTAATTTGCACCAAAGTGACAAGATTATGACCAGGATATGTAGACAACACTATTGGACACTCATTTATACCGTTTATCAGCAAAAAAAGTGGATTTGAGGGTGAGTTGTCCTTTAAAAGGGCGTTGCCTGGAGGACTAAGGGACAAGAAGGCGGGCTTAGAGCTGGGCGTGGTCTGGGCTGTGATTGACAGCTCACTTGTCTCACTAAAAAAAACAGACAGTTGTCATTGCTGCTTAAAACAATAGTTTACGGACCAGAAAGTCTCATTCCACCCTTGTTTACACACTAAGATAATTGTAAAGCTACACACCTGAACCTAATCACACTCAATAATCTCAGAATTACTCATGTAATTTAATTTTAATCCACTAGATGGCGCCAGAACACTCCAAACTGCAGCTGGGGCGTGTGTGAGAGTTGAATGGGTTCACATCACTGGCTCTGACAGACTGACGTCACACAAAACAACTGATGTCATAGAGAACTTCAGAGTCAATGAGAGGCCAGAACCAAATTCAAATGTAGTACCACCAAAAAGGTTGAGAGGGCGCCACACAGACGTTTTTTGGCTCAAAAGTGATATTTTATCTAATTTGAACTAAAATGTCAAAAAAATGACCAGGATATGTAGAGAGCAATACAATAAACATATTTATGCAGTTTATGAGTTGAAAAAAGTTGATTTGGTGTTTAGTCGCTCTTTAAAGTGGTTCTCACCCCCGCTCCTCGGAGCTTACGTTACTCACATTTCCTGTTCAAATCTTCCTCTAAATGGGCGTAGCCTGGAGGACTGAAGGGGGCGTGAACGAGACTGGGCCGTTTACATTCAAGCCCCGGCGATCCAAGATGGCGCCCTATTCAAATGAATGGTTGTGCTCAGTGGCGCTTTGTGACGGCATGGGGGCTGAAAGATTAGCGGAAGTTGCCTGAAACTCGCAAAGATCTATGGGAAACTCGCCTGTATTTGGGCATCGTCTGGTCCTCCCGGTTCTGCGCAGTGGATGATCTCCCATAATGCGTTGCGCCAAACACGCGTGTGTGGGTCTCACACCGGGTCTCACGCACGTGCACAGAGGGGCTCGGCCGCGCTCTGACCAATCAGAGCAGTTCATCAGAGCGGGAGTTAGAGCGAGAGCCAGACGAGCAGAGTTTGTGGCACTAAAGTGTGGATTTAAACAAAACCGAAGGATTTAAGAAGAAAAAAAGTTCAGGATGACAAGGGACACTAAAATCCCCACAAAATCCGATCTTTATTAAAGCTGTAGGTTCTCTGTCAGCTGAGGTTGAACTGTTTTAATATGCATTGAGTTCTATGGGGAAAATTTCTGGGTAGCCCACGTGAATTTAGTCTGGTTCAGTCTGCATGCAGTACCGCGAGAATCCCCTGAGCACATGAGTTATTCAGCTACAAGCTAGTAATACCCTATCCAGTTAATATAATACATCCATGTTTACATTGCTCTGGGCGGGGGGCTGCTGACGTCAGGTCCAACTTGCAGACGTCAGGTCCAACTTCTGTGCCAGTGTTGGCGCCAGATTCAAAATTCAATTGTAGTAATACAGGTCGCCAGCAGATGGCGCCTCACAGACGGTTTTAGGCAGAAAGTCTAACTTTCAACTAATTTGCACCAAAGTGACAAGATTATGACCAGGATATGTAGACAACACTATTGGACACTCATTTATACCGTTTATCAGCAAAAAAAAGTGGATTTGAGGGTGAGTTGTCCTTTAACTATTATGTACACCAGTATTCTTACTTATACAGAAAAAAGAAATTATGTGCTTCAGCATTATCATCAGAACCCAAACTAAACAAAAAAATGTATAATCACAGTACAAAAGAATCCCTCCATTTTGAGTTAAAGCACGTGTACCTCACTTTCTATGGAAAGAAAAAATGTGAACAAATCAGCAAAAAATGCGTGTATATGAAACTGTTAGAAAACCTTGGACTTAAGTATCTGGGTTTTTTTGTGGTTTCAAAGTACTTGAGTTGTTTTGGAAGCTAGCTTGGATTATTTCAAAAGGATAAAGGAAAGCTGGACCAGAGATTGAACAGAAATGTTACCTCATGCTCTCGGGGGCCCCTCTCCGCCTCCATGGTCCGCACTCGGCTCCGCAAACACTGGAGCTCATGGTCCAAGGCATCATTCAGCTCTTTGGCTTTTCTCAGACTCATCATCTCTGCACAGTCACAGAAAAACAGTGTTTGTGTTAAATTATGTAACCACTTCTCATTGAATGAATGTAAACTGTGTGTATTAAAATAATTAAAACAAATTCACCATATTTTTTGAGCTGCTGGACTTCCTGTCTGAGGCTGTTGACTTCACGCTTGGCTGCTTTTAACTCAGGCTCTAAAACAAAAGTCATTCTCTGATAAATAGTGACTTTCCTTTCATGTATTAACCATAACACTAAAGGTTGTCAGTGAAGATTGTAAGCCAAGGCAAGTTTATTTGCATGGCACAATTTGAACACAAATTAATTCAAAGTGTTTTACAAAGACCTGCCACTCCTTGATAAAACAAACACTAGGATCCATGTAAGTATCTGGGAGTAACGATGCACTCTGTAGGCTATCCCAGGGAAGTACACATCCACTTCATATGTACAAAGACTTCTGGGATAAAAGTCTCTCATATTAAACAATCTCATTTTTGACATTTTATTCCAGTCATTATGAACTTTCATTCGGACAGATGCTAAAATTTAGTTTATTAGATTTAATTTTGCATATACATTGTGTTCTTGATTCAGGAGGAAGAACAAGTCCTCTTCTTCAGGACCATGTGGGGTGTCTGTTATTTTAATGCACATAATATTTGAGATTAAAGCTGCAGTACCTAACTTTGAAGCCACAAATCCATTTAAATAGTTCCTCGCTCCCAAAACTGTTTGGTCCTATCATAAGGTTTGGCCTCAGTCACATCTCTAGATCAGCTTTTTCAGTGAAAATCCTGATCTGAGCCAATATGCTGTGAGTAAAAGATAAACTGATTCATAATAAGATTAATTAAACATGTTATGGTCTGAAACAACATTTATGAAACAAACAAAAATGTTAGTTACTTTAGCTTTTAAAGATTGAAATGTTAATCCTTAAGAGAATATAAACCTATTTCCTCCATCGCCTCAGATCATTTGGAATAACTCAGTCCATTCAAAAGCTGAATTAAGCTGATCTCATGAAAGCGTTGTCGTGCCTGATGAGAAGAGTGTTACATTTCCTGCATATTTTGTTGTGTTTGCGCTGGTGCTGCTGTGTCAATGCAAGGGGAGTTTTGGACTTTCATCTACATTCTGAAAAATGAATATCTTATCTTATAAAAAGCACGATGCACTTAATAATAATCTTATCAGCACAATGAGCTGTGTGCAAAGTCCAATTGCATCCCATTTGATTCGATTTCAAATAATAAATAAACAATCTTGATCTTGAACACAAGAAATGCAATGATAAAACACAGTCCATAAGGGGCAGATGAACAAAATAAACATAAGTGCTGATAAAGGCATTTATGGAATATCGATAGTTCATAACAGGAGTTGATTATTTGATCATAATACTGTATGTGTCATGACATTGTTTCATTGATTTTTTTATTGTTGATTTTTTGCTGTGAATAGTGTGTTTTTACCACTGCTTTGTATGTCTTTTTATATACAGTACTTTGTTGTTATTTTTATCAGTGCTTTATGAATAAACTGGACTGGACTGGAGAGATACACAAAGAAATCTAAAGCTCCAAAACACAAAAGGTAAAAAAAACTCAGTGAATTGTGTTTCCCACCGTAAGTTTTCTGAATATGATGTGCAGACTCCAGCTCATCTGTCAAGCGGCGGATCTCGTTGTGCGCCGTGGCCAGACGCCTAGAACCCTCCTCCAGGTCACGTTCCAGTCGAAAACACTCTTTTTGAACACTGTTTGTCTGCTCTGCCAAATGTTTAGACTCAGGCTGACATGAAAAAAAAAACACTTTATATATATATAAAGACAGGGGAACATATCAAGTATAGAGGCTTAATCACATACTGCTATGTATTGATTGAAGTATTCATCTGATTCAAATAGATTCAAATGCAGTAAGTGCGTTTATTAAAGTTTAGTGGTGAAATCTGGTGGCTTAGTAAAAAACTCACATGTACATTTCCCTTTGTCCTCATTGTAATGGTAAATTATTCTTCATGCCTGTTACTTAGTCACAAAGGGAGCATGGCACAGTAAACACATTTAACCTGTTTCTGCACATTGCAAAAATGACATGCTATCTACAATCTACAGAGAAGATTCTCAAAATGCAGTTTATGTAAGAAAATATTTACATAAACAGACTTACAGGAATCAGACATTTTTGACTTTTGTTGAGTCCCAATAGTTTTTTCCACGGGCTTTGACTGTGCCGCAACGCCCTCTTGTGGGTAGTCTAAAGAAAAGATATATCAAATGTTTTGTATTCATGATATTACTTTTAAAATGTTTATTCATATGCCCCCAAATGATCTATGGATATACAGAGTAACACAAGGTCAGAGTGTGGGCATTTGCTGAATTTGACTTAAACGGAACAGAAAATTTGACAAAAACAAATTGAGTTATTTACATTTTCCATATACATGTTCCTGGCCTACTGGTGCGGCAAGTAAGCAGATGGGCAGGAGAAAAACACAAGTCAGAACTTTTCAGATGTATGTGTCAAAATCATCTGTTATGGGAATTGCATTAGTATTTTATCCCAAACAAGAGTGAAGCTTAAACAAAATACTGTATACACTTGTTTGGTGTATTGAGGACCGCCAAACAAGCTGCCAATCTTTTTCCTATGCATTTCAAAATCCTTGATAGATGTTTTTTATTTTTATTTAATTTTTTTCTATTAGTGGAACCAGGGAGAGGATTACTCTTGGCAGATACTTGGCAGATGCTAGCATAAGCCAAGGGGGGGGCGCCTTTAACATGTTTCACACTTCTGCCTTTTGCACAATCTGAGTGATTCTATCCCTGCCAAATGTGTCATGTGAATGTATTTAGTGTGAGATCAATAAAGTCTATCTTTTCTTACTTTATCTCATCAAAGGAACCACTAAAACCAAGTCCATTGAAATGATCTGCTCTTACATACTGTAGCTACTTAAGAAAAGAGTGAAGTTAGTTGTTACTATGGATAAGAGGAGCTCACTTTTGGAATCGCTTGTTGTGTCTTGTGTAAGTATATTCTTACAACATGCCTTTTTGCACACCTCCTCTCCGCTGCTGTTTCTCTGGATGAATGATGTCAATTGTAAACTTTGCTTTTATCCTTGGTGCATTTCCTCATGGTGTCATTTCTTTCTATTATTAATGTGGCACCAATTCATCTGATGGTGACAGAATTCTGGGATCCGGGACTGGTGTTAAACATGGTCTACAGGTCCTGGCAGTAAAACAAACACAGGAATGACTGATAATGTGGGCGCACCTGTCCCACGGAGGCAGAGCATGTTTGCGGTCCCTCTGAGGTCTCCAGCAGAGAGGCCCTTTCCACCAGAAGATATGCCACTTGTTCACTAGGGCTACTGTGGACCAACTCTGTCAGGCCCTGGTCGTACAGCATCTTTGCCACTTCACTGATCTGCAAATCTGGGGAAATAGATCAGAAAAGGTGGGTAAAAAAAGATAAATATTAAAGCCGCAAGCGGCGTCGAACGGCCCTCGCCGCACCGCGCGACTCCCTGCACCGCGCGCACTCCCCGCACCACGCCGCCCTGCACCACGCCGTCCCGCACCACGCCGTCCCGCACCACGCCGTCCCGCACCACGCCGTCCCGCACCACGCCGTCCCGTACCAAGCCGCAACGCGCCGCTCCACAACGCCCCGCACTACGCCGCACCACACCGTACCACGCAGCACCGCTCAAAGGAGGTGGCGCCGCCGTGTGATGATTTGTTCCCGTAGTCATAGAAGATTGTTAGTCAAATTTGAATGAATATGATAAGTAGAGCTGGTTTGGCTCCCGATGTAAACTTTGGCTCAGTCTTTAGGGGGCGCTAATGGGCCAATTTCAAATATTTCACTTTCACCTGACCTAAACCCTGGAGTTGAACAATGGATTCAAGTTTAATGCAAATCAGACTTTGTTTGTGCAAACGGGAAAAAATTAATGTTGTCAAAAACGGCCAAAAAAACCCTCACATTTTGCCGCTTCGCTGCTCAAACAACGTTTCACTGATCAAAATTCCCTGAAGTCATTTTGAAGGTAAATGTGTTGAGATGATTTGGAACAATTTTGAGGCCAATCGGTGAAACGGCCGAGGAGGAGTCGCTTTCCAACCGACATGTATGAAAATGATTATTTTTCATTTTTCCATTTTGCAGTGAAATTTATGGGCTTTCTGTTTGTCAGAGGGCTTAGCCATAATAAAACAAGTTCAATGTCTTGACTTGAGGAACATGTGTTCCAAATTACATGGTTCTATGACAATTTTGACCTCGAACCCCTCCCATAGGCATTTTTAAATCGGCTGTTGTAGGTGGCGCTATAGAGCCAATTTCAAAATTTTAACTTTCAAATGACCTAGACCCAAGAGTTGAACCATGGATTTAAGTTTTGTGCAAATCAGACTTTGTTTGTCCAAACGGAAGCCATTTTTCTATTGTCAAAAACTGAAAAAAAATACGCCACTATTTGCCGCTCCGCTGCTCAAACAACGTTTCACTGATCATAAATCCCTGAGGTCATTTTGACGGTACATGTGTTGAGATGATGTGGAGCGATTTTGAGGCGAATAGGTGAAACGGCCGAGGCTAGTTTGATGTTTGTGTGAGGTGTACATTTGCAATGAATCTGGAGCGTTTGTCGTCGCCACGGCAACAGGGTAAAAAATAAGCCTTGGACCCTATTGACTTTTTGAATCAAGAGTGCAAAACAGATTTATGTGCAAAATTTCAAACATTTTGAAAAAACTAAATTTGAAAATGCCCATCTAAAACTTTGAAATAGTCTGTAGGGGGCGCTAATGTGTCAATTTGAATTAATTCACTTTAAAACGACCTAGACCCTAGAGTTGAACAATGTATTAATGTTTTTTGCAAATCAGACTTTGTTTGTGCAAACGGGAGCAAATTTAATGTTGTCAAAAACGGCCAAAAAAGGTCACATTTTGCCGCTCCGCTGCTCAAACAATGTTTCACTGATCAAAAATCCCTGAGGTCATTTTGAAGGTACATGTGTTGAGATGATGTGGAGCGATTTTGAGGCGAATCGGTGAAACGGCCGAGGAGGAGTCGCTTTCCAACCGACATGTATGAATACTTTTGCTGTTCATTTTTCCATTTTGCAGTGAAATTTATGGGCTTCCTGTTTGTCAGAGGGCGGAGCCATAATAATATTTTTTTCTTGTCTTGACTCAAGGAACATGTGTACCGAATTTCATGACTCTACAACAAACTTGATCCTCAGAACTCCCATAGGGGTATTATTTTGGCTGTTGTAGGTGGCGCTGTTCTGGCATTTTTTGAGTCCCATAAAAATAAACACCAAAATATCAAATTTTTCGCCAGGTCTGATTTTTGGGCAAAATTTAACAACTTTTCATGCATGTTCAGGGGGTCAAATTAAGGCTCAAAGTGCAGAAGAAAAAAGAAAGAAAGAAAGAAAGAAAGAAAGAAAGAAATAAAAAAGGAATTTTTTTTTCGACGTCTCGAGCAAAAACAATATAGGTTTCAATGGCACGTGATACATCATTTTAAAGTGTTCGAGTTTACGCACGCAACCGTCACGTTTTGGTGAGTGACGGGCGCTGACGCGTCCGTCACGCACCGCCACCATTTGTTTTCACCATTGTGAAAGCAATAGGCCCTTACCCCGTTCGGGGCTCGGGCCTAATAATCGTAGTATGTTACCCATATGTTGCTTCTTCAATGTATAGGATCGATGTTTTAGTTGAAAAAGTATGACTAGACAGTTTTGAATTAAAATTGAATCAAGACAAAGAGTTCTAAATAATTATAGTAATTTCAAAATATTTGATATATATCATTAATATATGATTTTGGTGGTTTGAGTTTGTGGTGTAAAGTCCAGCGATTTTCCGTGAGACACAAAACCAATTCTAGAAAAATTTGTTAATATATCTTAAAGGTCTATAGAAGGATTTTGTACTTCCTGGGTGGATCATCAACACTATTGGTCCTCATAATTGTCAATCATTCTGGTGATACATCCAATAAAACCAGAGAGATTGGCTCAAAAGTGGAGATGGGGCAGCTCTTTCTTAAAATTTGGGAAAATCCTGCTTCATACCTTTAATAAAAATAGGACAGGCAACATGGTTGAAAAAAAGACAATGTAAGATGGTGAGGCATGAAATCCCCGTGCTGCTCAGTCTGTGTCTGTTGTACCCTGCAGGGAAACCAGGCGCTGCAGCTGGTCTCTGAGCTGGTCATTTTCTTCTTGAACCTCTTGAGCCAAAACGTCTTTGTGTCCAGTGAAGACTCGGATTTGCTCCAAAGACTTGCGCACCTAAACACAGCATTACCACAATAATCGCCTCCAATGAAGACACCATATACTTACTGTATGTTAGACAAGAGATTTTGAGAGATGTTTTTTTCTGTACATTTAGAATCAGAATTTGAATTGTTTCGATTGTCATTGTAAGTAACCAGAAGTCATAAACTAGAAATTTACTTTGGCTCAAGATGCAAAATGGTTGTAAAAGTAAAAAATAGATGTAGAAGCAGGCATACATATATCTTCATAACATTTCTACTACATACAGGTACACATAGTCAAAGTGCATTATTTACAACTGTATGCGTTCAGATAGATTCTACCATGTGAGATGTTTCATTTTAAAAAGAAAATATACATCTCTAATTGTAACGCATTGGGTTATTTTTTTCAACAAAGAGCGGCCTCCCATCACAGCACTTACTAATAATAGTAATAATAATGCATTGATTTTATACAGTGCTTTTTGGACGCTCAAAGACGCTTTACATGTTTCATTATTCATTCACTCCAATACACGGTGGTGATGAACTACTACTGTAGCCACAGCTGCCCTGGGACACACTGACAGAAGTGAGGCAACCAGTCTGTACCATCGGCCCCTCCGACCACCAGCAACCATTAACACTATACTCATTCTAGGCAATGGGGGTGAAGTGTCTTGCCTAAGGACACAACGGCAGTTTGGCACTTTACAGCCGCCCCACTGTGGCTGGTGTTCCCAGAGGTTAAGTGTCTTGCTCCAGCACACAATGACATGACAGTTCATGGTGAAAGTCTTGAGGTGGGCTTGAACCCATGACCTTCTGGCTCCAAGGCCAATGCTCTACCAACGGAGCTACTGTCGCCCTAATAGCGCATCAGGCTACCAGAAACAGATAGTGCTGGCCTCAAACACTATTTGTCACCCTGACTATCCAATATTCCATTATCAATATTCTTTCCAAAGTACATATACAAAATACAACAGCCAAAAAGTGACACACAAAGCCTCACCTTGCAAATCTCTGCAGTGTATTGTGATTGTTGTGAGTCTAAGGTCTTGTTGATGCTGCGGAGGTTTCCCTGAGCGCGCAGCAGAGCCCTCCACAAACAACACAGCTGTTGGTCTGCACCTGCTGCAGGACTCAGGCCCTGGTCCGTCAGCCACGAGCAGATCTGTGCCAACTCCGCCTGCACTCACCACACAGGACAGCTGAAGCTCTCCACAACATCAAACTAATATATATATAAATAAAGATTACTTATACTGCTTCATTCTGAGAGTCTAAAATGATTCAACTATAACTCATATTATTATATTATTGCTGATATTGTTACTATTGTTTATTTTGTTCATATTCTCTGCTGCTAAAGAACAATATACACATCTGGAAATACCTCTGAACCAAGTGCAATTATAGCTTCAGAGTTTATTTTATTTTATTATATTTTACCATCTTATTGTTATTATTTTATTGTTATTATCTTAAATATTAGACGCTGTTTGATGTGTGCAATCTGAGTGCTCTTATTTCCTTCTTTCTCTGCTGTAATATGCGCAACGATGACACTGAAATTTCCCCACTGTGGGACGAATAAAGGAATATCTTAATTTATCTTGATATTAGGATGCAATTAAGATAAGTATAAGAATGCATTAACCTTTAATTTACCAGGAAAGTCCCACTGAGAATTCATAATCTTTTTAGGGGGAGTCCTGGTAGTCCTGGGAGTTCCACATTGTATGGTACGCATTATCATTTCAAATGCTGTAAATCATTCCAGTTTTTCAATGTGATTAATCCTGATTAAATATTTCAATCATTTGACTGCACTATTTTAAAAGTTTTTGTCACATTATCAACCATTACCACCTGAGCACATCATAGCAAAAGGTTTGAAAAAAATTAACACATTTTACTTGTGCAAAGCAATGTTATTTTCTCCTCATGCAAAATGTTATTGGTTTCTATTGTGTACATTATTATTGAAATTGCATCTGACAACCAACCAATATTGTCCATTTCCCAGAATACAAGTGGTGACATTAACTCTCACTCAGTCTCGGTCAGTTTGTAAACAGTTCACTATAGTACCTTTTTCTATAACATTGAAACCAAAAGATCGGATTCGATTCAACTTTATTGTCATTACAAAGACAGAACAATGCAACAAAAGGCAGTTTAGCGTCTAACCAGTAGGAAAACCAACGGATAGTGGCACATGATGATGCTGTGCCTAAGCTCTTGACAGTGATATGCATACATACTGTACATACAGTATATATATGTTTGGCCACATGTTTTGTTTATCAGCTAATCCAATGTTAAACAGTGTTTGCAGTCTTTCTAATAAACATATTCAGGCTCCATTTTGCCACATGTTTACACATTTTTAGCATGTTTTGCAATTGCTTGTAGAAAGAATACAGTGTGTAATTACATCTCCTCTGATATATGTATTCTCCAACAAGACGCATGCTTTAAACTTTTATATAAGAGACAAAAACAATATAATGTGGAGAGTTTTGCTTGCTTACCTCAGTTTGAGCCATTGCCCTGTGTTATTCTCTCGCACCTCTGACTGTCTCTGGTCAGAAGTATAGTATTGTAGAAATGTCTGTAGTATAGTTGCTCTTTCTTTCTGTCCAAGAATAGAGTCAAAGTATCAAATATCATTGTCTATTGCAGAGACACTGTTTACGAAAGCCTCAAAAGCAGCACCGAGGATTTTCCAGTCTTGCGGTTCTGGGGGAGTGGTGAAAAGTGGGACATCTGGACCTGGTTTGAATTCGCCTGAGTCAAGTTTAAAAGGAGAGAAAGACAAAATCTGTTCAGTTCATTAAAGTTGGCCCCATCGGTTTTTGTTTGTATGAATTGGACATGATTGATTGTTCCCACTGAAGGATTCTTGTAAAAGTAAAACAAAGTGTTAACAAATCTGACCACACCATGACGTCTGTCTTCCTCTTAGTATGTGTTGTTTTGTAAAGAGGCCTGTGAAAATAAAAAGAGAGAGAGACTCTTCGAGCTGATTGGTTGAGTCAGAGTGGAGCTTTTACTTTTCTGGATTTTATTACATAGTTTCGTTTTTTGAGGTTTGAAAATGTGTTACTCCTGCTTTAAAAAAAACATTCAACTTGGTACAAATACAATTAAATTCAATGTATTTTTGTACATAGTTAAAAATCACAATAACAGGACTTTACAAACATTGACAATTTGCAAACAACAGATTAGAGAATCATCGAGAATGCAATAACCAGAAACACAAAGGCCCAAATAGTAGTGCAATGACCAATGTATGTAAATGCTCATAAAGGTCCATAAGTGTCCTGGAGCATCATGGTCCTTTGACCCTCCTGCATCAGCAATCATAGAAAATAATTATACAAACAACTTTTTTTTTTCTTTTAATTTTAAATCTTCTAAACTTGATTCATTGCCGTTTATTTAAGGGAATAGGGTTAAGGTCAATCCGATAGCCAACTCTATTGTTTTACTGTCGCATCGTCTCCGTGTAAACCAGACCATTTTTGTTGAGCATTAACCATTATTCAGCTCTAAACCTCCTCAAATCTAAATAAATAACATCCAAACTGTTTTTACTGTAAATAGTTTAAATGTACAGGGTTGACCGTGTTAGTTGTCTGGTCCTATATTTTACGTAAATAATTGTTTTATGTTTATTTACAGTATGTCTATGAATAATAGTTTTATTTTTTTTATTTGAATAGTTTTTAGTTTTTTTGAATTGCTTTTATTTAATGCTGGCAGACTTGTATATTTGAATCTCTGTGCAGCACTGTAGAAACATGTTTTTAAAAATGTAAAACAAAATGGGTTGGATTGAACATAGTATGATATTGTTGTTGTGGTACCATGTGAAAAAGTATGGTTTCATTCTATCTATTATTAAGATATTTATAATCGTTCATGTCCTCAGTGTTTTGTCTTGTGTGGTCTGATACACCCTCTCTCCCTAAAGTGGTCACTAATCTGTTTCCTGTATTTCACTTCTGTGGAAGTCTAAATACCAGGCTGATGGACGTGATGGATGGCACACAGCACACATTTCATTTTTATAGTTTGAATTGCCAAGTTCTCTTCTCTTGAAATAAAAATAATAATAAAGAAACAACTTCTATATGTTTTGAGATTATTCTTATAAGAAAATTCCGCACACATTCTGGCAACCCAACAAAAATGCAATGAAACGTCCCTTTAGTAGTTGAAAATGTCGATGAACCAGGCAGTAAAATTACCCAAAAATAGCACGTTATGGCCATGTTCGGCTTTGTAATTCAAAACAACATTCCCATAATTATAATAACAGTAGAGGGTGTAGTCTTGGGAACATTCTCAAAGGCACAGTTATTAGAAAAAGGTAAAAAGTTTCATATTTTCCCTTGAGACTAGTGCATGTTTTACTGTCCATCCAACCTGTGTGTGTGCATGTGCGTGTGTTTGTGTGTGTGTATAAATACTTTGAAGATAACACTTTATCCAGATTCAGATAAATGTTATATGCCATTTGCAGTAAAACCACATTGGAATACAGATGCCAAAGTCCCCAGTGTGCACCGGACAAGTACATAAATAAGAATATTAGTATTATTTTTAGTCCCACAATGAGTACATTTCGTAAAGCGGTGTTCTTGGGCATAGTCTCTGGTGTAAAGCGATACGCAGAGGTAGTAAGTAGTGAATATTTGGTCAGCACAGAGGAATGCGTGTGTTAGTTTTGATTTGGAGCAGGCCTTAGCTTTGCAGTGGGAGGGCGAAGGAAGTGGGTGTCCTGAACTCCTCCTATTATATCTTGACTCCACATTCCAGCTCCAAAAAACCTCCTATTCTTCACGGCTTCTACAAGATTTACACCCAAAACCTGCAAGAGGCCAAAGCGAGAGCATCTCAAGAAAGGACCAGAGGAGCATTGGACGCTTCAGGAGACGTTAAAGGGTGAGATTTTAATTTCACACCAGTTTATCTTTTCAGTTAAGAATTATCAATGAAAAATAGGCTGATTGTAAACAAAAAGAAAGAGGAAGAGGAAAGATGAGCTGTAAATAGTGGCATGAAGTGTGGCTATATGCACTGATGCTACACAGGGAGATGCTCTTGGGATCTGTGTGGAGTTTGCATGTTCTGCTCATTCATAAATGGTCTGTCTTGAACTCTGAATCCCCAGGCGCTGCTCTGAATTATGCACAAGGGTGGATATTGATTGTGATAAATGACACATGGTCGCAAAGCAGTGTTTGTATTAGAATAAGGCACTCAGTCATTTCAATTTGAAGAAAAAACATGTCTCTATACTGACAAAAATTCTCAAACGATGACGCTGATTGATTAAGATTAAGAGATCCTTTATTCGTCTCACAGTGGGGAAATTTCAGTGTTGCATCCCAAGTTATAGACAGTAGGAATAAAGAGCATACAGCACTGGATAGATTTATAAACATTCTATACTAAAATAGAATAACATCTCTTAACGCAGAAATAAAAATAAGCAGTATAAAAAAGTGCACAATGAAGGCTGGGGTACCTAACACACACACACACACACACACACATATACACAATTAAATGTCTACAATGTTGTCATTTTGTTGCTGTCTTTTTTATTTATTTGTATGTCTGCACAGATATTATTATAGATCAATGGTCTGCACTTGCATTGTGTGTCTGTATTTTTACCAATATATAAAACATAAATAAATCATAGCCCATATTTGCTGCTAATGTTGTGCCATAATCCCGGGAGAGGTCTCACTCAGGCTTTGATGAATGAGCAGAGATGGCTTGTGCTGATTATGAGAGGCTTAATGGTTGTGCTCCGACGTTCTCATGAATCCGTGCAGAGTAGTGCCAAAGCTGCATTTGTTTTTTCAGTTTTAAATCCTACAATTTATCAAGTTTATCTGTTATTTTTAGGGTTACCGTCATTAGTCTTGAAATTGCGCTTTAATCACGATGCCTTTTACCCATCCGTTCTATACTGACAGCAAGATATTATTAGCTCTGTTAGCATATCTTGCATTAGAAACCCAGTAAAAGTCACAGTATTCATGTGCATTATTGATCTAGAAAGTGATCAAAGCTGGAGCATGTAATTTTCAAACCCCAAACAATAGAACAAAGTAATAGAAATCCATCTAAACTGTTTGTGATTATCTCTAGTTATCACATGCATGTATTCTAGTAACTGTCCTATACGCAAAAACTTGCCTTGACTTTTTTGGCCTCTTTCACATAGTTGGATCAGCTTTTTGAGACAGAAAAGTGGAAAAGAGAGGACCACCCTCACTCAGCCAATCATCTCTCAGTACCGGGCATTAAATACAGGGCTCTTTCTCACAAGTATACATCTATAACATGTTTTCACCCTTTCTGGTATGATAAAAAGTGTAGTATCTATCAAGACATTGTAATTTTAGAGAGTTAGATACCCCAGCTTTAATAGTAATAATAAGTAGAGGCGACAGTAGCTCAGTTGGTAGATCATTGGCCTTTGAGCCAGAGGGTCGTGGGTTGAGCCCGACTTTCACCATCGACTCCCACTGTCTGCTGTCGTTGTGTCCTTGGCAAGACACTTAACCTCTGGGAACACCAGCCACAGTGGGGCGGCTGCGGCTGTAAAGACACTTCAAGACACTTCACCCCCATTGCCTAGAATGAGTCTGGTGTGTGTGTGAATGGTTGGTGGTGGTCGGAGGGGCCGATGGCACATACTGGTTGCCTCGCTTCTGTCAGTGTGCCCCAGGGCAGCTGTGGCTACAGTAGTTTATAACCACTGTGTATGGAGTGAATGAATAATTACATATAAAGCGTCTTTGAGTGTCCAGAAAAGCGCTGTACAAAACCAATGCATTATTATTAAGTAACATTTCTATTCACCAGTTTGTTGAAAAGGTCACAAATCTGTATTTACCAGTAGAACAGCAATGTTCATATTTCACATGCAAAGCTTCCTTTTATGGATGTTTTTGTTTTGGGTATGGCGTATTTTTGTGTTTGCAGATTATCCTTGACTCTTATCCAGTGCAGCCATGGTCGTCCTCCTCATCTCTGTCACATTTCTACATCTGTCCTCCCTGGCCATGCTCCTCATCGCCACTCTGGAGAAAGTGAGCTAAATATAAAGAAACATCACTGATTGATCAAACAGTATGATCTTAACGCACATTTGAATTTTTCCCACAGTCCTGGTGGGTTTGGGACGATGAAATTTCAGATCTTTGGTACAACTGCTTCCATGACAATGCTACAAAAACATGGCTGTGTGCCGCAACCAATGAGAACGGTAAATACTTTTAAACTCTGCTGTAAGCGCTATACAAGTTTGATGTATTATAATTGTTTTAATTAAATTGTCTTGACCAGTATTGTTGTCCGAGATTATTTAAAAAGGAGAAATTCTCTACAATGTATGTCACTGACCATTTTTATTGTTTTCATTGTGACAAATTCAGAGTACCGTAATAAGTTTTAGAAACTATAGGACACTTGTTTATTGTCAAAATAGACTGGTGAATGAGTACTAGCATGGAAGCAAATGGTTCAGCCGTTAAACACCCGGTCATTAAATCATGTTGTGACCAGTTAAAACTGTCGTCTACATTACAACATTTTATTATACGTACAGTATAGTAGCAGTAGAATGCTCCATTGATTTGAATATAATTTCAAATCGTTATACCGGTCATTATTTTTTGACAACGGAAACCATTAAAGCGGCTATGTGGAAGTTTAACCACATATAAAACTATACAACATTTTAAACAAATTCCACATACATTCTCCAGCAATGCCCTGGTGCGTGGAATGACCCCTGGCCTTTTCACCGCAGTTGCCTCTATATGGCTGTAAACTTGTCTTTATATGCCTGAAATTTTCGTGTTTGCGTATTTTCCAGGGGCAGCGTAATGCGTAATGACGTCATGCGTGTTCACGATTAGCTGTAGCAGAGCTAGCTGAACCCGTGAACAGTGAAGCTGCAGAGCGAGAGGTGGTTTTAGAAAGATGATCGCTGCCCACTACTTCTGTCTCTGCGAGAAAAGCTGTCAGGGCTAGCCGCGCTAGTTTTACTCGAGTAACACAAATAACAATCAATCAACACATTTAAATATGAATCAGATAATACATTATACATGTACATTTTTAATACACATGTACAAGGGATTTCAAAATTATCAGTTAACGTTATCATGGCAAAAATACTGTTTTAATGGGAAGAAATTTGACCCTGGTAAACCTGGAAGTAACTATTAACATGGATCTGATTATGGATTGAGGTCGCTATATATATACACATATATATATATATATATATATATATATATATATACATATATATATAATATATATATATATCCATCCATCCATCCATTTTCTTCCCCTTAATCCATTTCTGGGTCGGGGGGGTGGCAGTCAGAGCTGCACCCAGTCACAGAGCACCAGCCCCTCACTGATCCTTCTGCAGGTGGTGAGTCCACAGGAGCTGAGATATTTCAGTTGGGGCTTTGGGCAAAGTGGGGTTAAGTGTCTTGCCCAAGGACACAACGACAGCAGTCATCAGTGGGAGTAGTGAAGTAGGTCTTACGGTGGGCTCGAACCCACGACCTTCAGGCACAAAGGCCAATGCTCTACCAACTGAGCTATTGTCGCCCCCAATAATATATATATATACTGCTATTTGTCAACTGAACACAAAAAAAAAAAAATTCTGTTCATATTTATGAATCCCAAAAGGTTTATCTAAGGACTGCAAATAAAATAGTTCCCATATATATATAGATATATATATATATATATCTATATATATATGGGGGAATTTTTTATTTGCAGTCCTTAGATAAACCTTTTGGGATTCATAAATATGAACAGAATTTTTTTTTTTTGTGTTCAGTTGACAAATAGCAGTATAATAAGCGGGATAATGTATAGAACGCAGGTCATAATCGGAAAATAAGTACCGTCGGAGTGGAAGCAGTCCAGTTCGCAGGTACCTGATTTCCAATATTACAGTGCGCCCTAAATACAGGTGAGCGTTATAGTCCAGAAAGTACTGCAATAGCTACTTTTATCTAACTCAAAGCAGAAAGGATAATAACAGGCTGTTACATGACCTAATTATTCATCTGTTGCAGTGTTTCGATACTCGGTTATGTGATTCTATTACGGCTGTGTTCGTCTTAGGTTATTATGAATCGGTCAAGGGCAAGCCATGGATCAGTATATTTGTCAGTGAATAAACATTACTGCAATAATATAAATATATAATAAGATATGACACAAATTGTCAGAATATTTGACATTTTTTTGCTTCAGTTGCTGTGCATAAAGTTGAAGTATTTTCCAACAGCCAAAAAAGGTGAAGTCCCTTTTTTTCCGATCAATCGACCAGTGACCATTTGAACTCAATTCCAATAACAGACATAGAAAATAAATCACAATATTTCCCCCCTTAAATGTTTATTGTTTTAACATTGTTTTGTGAAAGATTTATTTTAATGTTAACTCAGATGAACTTTCCATTTTCCACTGTGGCCCCTACTGTATCTCATGCCACATCATTAACATACCATTCAACGGCTTTATCAAAGTTATTCCTGATATTGTCCAGCTATAATGACTGTACAATCACTCCATGCCAGGACACATAATTTATTTTGTCTACCCCCCTCCCTTCAGACTGGCTCCAGTCCGTGCAGGCTCTCATGGTCCTCTCGGTCGTCTTCTCCTCCATCTCCTTCCTTGTGTTTTTGGGACAGCTGTTTGCCATGTCTCAAGGAGGTCTCTTCTACTTCACTGGATTCTGTCAAGCCTTTGCAGGTCACACATCTATCTGATAAAGTTTGCAATATAGACTCTTTTGGCACTTGTTATTTATTTTGTTGTTATTGTATTAATTATTTACTCAATGCTATAAATATCTACTTACTTGTATCAGAAGTTATGAAAGTATAACAATTAGATCAGATCCAAGCTTGAGGCCTAAATGTTTAAGTTCACTTTCAGGCCAATAAAAGCTAAATTATACTTTAATGTCCCTGTGGGGAAATTTGACACTTGGGCCTCTGCCAAGAAGGTATGACCACTAACCAGAATTTATCTTCTTATCTTATTTTCAGATGTTTTGACTGCTATGTGACTTTGCTGTGTTTGTAACCAATGTCTTGGTGGGTTTTTGCAGGTTTGACAGATTTTGCGGCCTGCCTCATTTTCACGTTCCACAGAAAGGAGATTTTATCAAACTCCAAAGATCCAAACTCCGGGCGTTTTGGATACTGCTTCCTCCTAGCCTGGGTCTGTGTGCCTCTACTGTTATTGAGCGGAGTCTTGTATGTGCATTTACGGAAGAAACATTGAGACACGCTGTATTTTGTTTCACAAACCCGAGAGCTTGATGGTTATATTTCATCTGTGGTTTCACTATATATACATCCATCCATCCATTTTCTTCCCCTTAATCCTTTTCTGGGTTGGGGGGGTGGCAGTCAGAGTTGCACCCAGTACACAGAGCACCAGCCCCTCACTGATCCTCCTGCAGGTGGTGAGTCCACAGGAGCTGAGATCTATCAGTGGGGGCTTTAGGCAAAGTGGGGTTAAGTGTCTTGCCCAAGGACACAATGACAGCAGTCAGTGGGAGTCGAGAAGTAGGTCTTATGGTGGGCTTGAACCCACGACCTTCAGGCCCAAAGGCCAATGATCTACCAACTGAGCCACCGTCGCCCTTACTATATATACAGCAAAGTGTGAATTCAAAGGCCTTTATCTGACCTCTAACTTCATAAACAAATGGAAGCCAATAGTAAATGTAAATAAAAATACCAATATAGTTTCAAATATCACTGTAATATATTATTTGTGTATTTTTTCTTAACTTTCTAACAAAGTTTTATCTCTTATATGCCTGTGTTATTGTTGATAATGTTGTGTCAAGTGAAATAAAGGTGAATTTGAACTATATAGAGCATTGGTTCTTAACGTGGGTTTGATCGATACATTGTGTATTTGTGGTTGAAAAATCAAAGTTTGGTAAATAAAATCTCATCATCTGCCGAGACTCCGTTAACCTCATCAGTTTGCGGACAACACCACCCTCATTGGACTCATCACCAACAACGATGAGTCCGCCTACAGAAGGGGGGTGGACTTCAGGGACCTCCTTTTCGAATTGTGTGTAGTGAGTCGAAAAAAAGACTACTACTGCTACAGGTATGTCATTTGTTGTCAGTTCATGTTGGGTTTTTTCTAACAAGGTGATGTTCATGCACGGCTCATTATCTGCATCAGTAAAAAACCTATGTCTACCTTTTTTAATTTTCACTCAAGAGGGGTTCGGTGAATGCGCATATGAAACGGGTGGGGTTTGGTACCTCCAACAAGGTTAAGAACCACTGATGTAGAGCCTATAGTATACCAGCATTCCTGGATTGAGCAAACATGATGCAAAAATCAAAGGCCACTAGTGGGCGCTCAAAGTAAGCAGATCACATATGGGCAAAAACAGTATTATGAAGTAAGGAGGATTGCGTAAGAACTTGTAAAAACAGACACCTCCGTTTTTAAATTGTGAAAAGGCTGTATTCTTCTAGTTGCATTCTTCCAATTTGCTCAATAAAGGTAAAACTTTATTTGTATGGCACTAGAATAGACCTAGCTTTTTTTTGTCTTAAAAAAAATGACTCAGTAAAGGGAAAATTGTGAGCCTTTCAAATATAATTCCTAATGGCACTTATCTATTTTTGCAAATTAACTCCTATACTGTCTATACTGTCTATAAAAGTATAGTAGCATATTGGCGGAATCTCTAACAGAAATAGGAGCAACAGGACGAATAAGTTAACACTCATTGGATTTTAGCCCAGTGACTAAAGGAGTGTAAAATTACGGCCTGCTGTGGCTACGGGGTTAGTCTCACTCACAAACTGAACTATCAGTCCTGTACAAGATAATGACTGGAAGATGAGCAATGCAAGAATAAAATGAGTCAAATCATACCACGTTTTGGTTTTGGGATGTGTGTTTGTGAGAGAGAGAGCGAGAGAGAGAATTGAACTGTGTGTTTACTGTTATTGCACTTATAATAAAAGTTCCATAGACTCTATTGTTGACAGCACGATGTCACCTGCAGTATGTGTCTTTAAAATAACAAAGGTGCGTCTTTTGTCCTCTCCAATATTACAGCTATTACTATGTACTTTAGTGGAAGGGCCTGAGGCAAATACCAGACAAACCAGCACTTAAATAAAGAGTCAACTATTCTTTTACTACTTGATTTAAGAAAAAAGAATGACACGTGCTTTACCTGCACTGAAATAAAAGTTAAAATATGACCTGTCAACTGGTGGTTTACAAACTGGTGAAACAAGCACAAGCCACTCAAGCACATTATATAACTGTATCAATGTCCAAATACTTCTCATTTTTACTTCCAAGCTCCTAGACACTGCAGCTTGTGAAAGTTATCCTATGTTATAATAATATTTAACCAAAATAATCAAGTAAGTAAGTAATGTTTATTTATATAGCACATTTAAAGACCAAGGTCACCCAAGCGCTTTACAATGTTCGGAGTTTAGATATTTTTCCATTCACTCCACACACGGTCGACGACAGACCAAGATGCGGAACACACTGGCCCTCTATCAAGATAGTTTTAAAATATGAATAATGTAGTGTATTCATTACTCAAGGACTGTGCAGTTAAAAAGTATTTGCATACAACTTCTACATTTGTTCAATCCAATCCAATCCAATCCACTTTATTCATATAGCACGTTTGAACAACAGTTACGTTTCCAAAGTGCTACACAAAAAAGTATAAAATAAATAAAAACTTATCCTTAGCTTCACCAAGTATAAAGGAATAAAAATATATAAAACAGATTAAAACCATAAATAGAAATAAAATAAAATAAAATAAAACACAGAGGACCGCACAACTCACGCAGTTTTAAAAGCCAAAGAGTAAAAGTGGGTCTTAAGACCCTTAAGTTCAGAAGTTCATTTATTTCTGTAATTCAATAAAAATGTGAAACCAATATATGACCGTCAAGAGTTTTATGGTTAATGGCTTACAGTCCATTTTTTAAACATATCTATCTATCTATCTATTTAATACATTTATCAATTGGCTTCACTGCACATTATATGACCTGTGTTGTGTGTCTGTGGGAGTGGGATGTATGGGTGGGTGGTCAAAATATTGTTGTTAAATGTATTTGTATGGATTTGTGTCAATCACTATTAAATTGTTATTCTGTATTATTTGTGCAGTAACAACTTCTTCTACAAGATCTGCCTGTAGCTCAGAAAACAGACTTTAAAACAGCTCTGCTTTTTACAAGTCTCTCCATGGCCTCGCACCATAGTACATTAGTGACATGTTAGTCTCATATGAACCAGCCCGGACTCTGAGGAGCACAGGGACTGGACTCCTGTTAGTGCCCAGAGTCAGAACTAAACATGGGGAGGCAGCATTTCAGATTCATGCTGCTAAAATCTGGAACAATCTTCCTGAAAGTGTGCAACAGGCCTCTTTTCTGACAATGTTTAAATCCAAGTTAAACAAAAGGTTTTTTTTAGCTGTGCATACAACTGAGGGATTTTATATTATTATCTTGTGTGACAGTTTCTATCTTGTTTTGTTCAGCACTTTGGGTTGCCTTGTGTATGAAATGTACATATAAACTTGCCTTGCCTTGCCTTTGCATGAGTTTCACCTGTATCTACTGTATCGCCTACTAAGCCACAACATAACTTTCCTGTGAGATCTCATTGAGTCTCCACTTCCAAAGACAATCTCAACTCTGATGCCACTTGTAATGATACCTGTGCTGCTTTTCAAGTCGTTGAAGCAGCATATAATCCAATACAAATGGGTCTGGTTTTTGATTGTAGCTGGAACAATGGCTGTGAGTGCGTCTCTTGACAGCCTAATCTGTCAGTGCGGAGAATGTGAGGAATCTGGAAGAAGGAGTGGACCGTCACTAGAATGTCACAGTTGGGAGGGAACTGTATGCACCTGTACAAGCCCCATACAAGACATGCGGTCCGCCCGGTGCCTTTCCCAACACCTCTGTCGCTATTTCAAAAGAACTTTCATTTATTTTTCAGTATAATCTTTTGATATTTTGTATTGCTTTTCGTTTAGAAGTTGGGAAGAGTTTTGGACTTTGACTGAAGAGTTTCTTATCAGGACAAAAAGAGAAATATGGGAACATGGACAAGACGTCGACAGCACTGCAAAAACAAATTGTAAGGTAGACAAAGAATGTACTGTATGTATGAACGCATCATGTGTAGTAGGTCATTTGTTCTAGTCATTTGGCAATAGTTGTAAGTAAGAATAAAAGTCATATCTCTGTACATGTCTCATTCCCAAGAGGAGAACTATTTGTCTTTATATATAATACATGGTGTGTGTCCCAACGGAAAGAGCCAGGTCAAACTAACATGTTATGGAAAACAACAGCCTTTTATTTAACTTACTCTTATCAGAAAATATGAGTAAGAGTATTTAACTTACTCTTATTGTTATTAGATAATATGTTATACTTAGCCCTCTGAGTCACTATTTGACTGTCAGGGCAGAGAGCTGATTGGCTGAGTGAGGGTGGTCCTCTCTTTATCAGAATGAAAAGATGTGATCTTAAGATGTACACACAAAACTAGAACAAGAACCAAACTGTTTTGAGAGTGAGGAACTAGTTAAATAGATTTGAGGTAGATTAAGAAAAAATTGTTGTGGTTTCAAAGTTGGGTCACCCAGCTCAAATCAAATACATATACCTGTATATTGGGACAATGTGTAGGTTGGCAACTTTATTTATGATTGAGCGCAAAATAAAACATTTATTAGCGCCAGGGTTAACATGATAACACATTTTTGAGGGCGGCATGGTGGCACAGTGGTTAGCACTTGTGTTTCAGAGGAGGTCAGAGAAGGTCCTGGGTTCGATTCCGCCTCCAGGTCAAGAAAAGCATTTATAATGGGTCTGGCAAGCTCCCATCACTTTGTGGAGTAATGGGACAAATGCCCACACTCTGGTCTGTGAAAGACCATATATAAATACAGATTACTGAATAGATCAATATCATACATTCCTGGATTCTTTCATCTGTATATGAAGATATGATCAATTCCTGGTGGTTTTTAATGTAGGATATTTATGTACATGGAGAAAGTAAGTAGTAAGGTTACCATGGTTACCTAAATGCAAGTGTTACAATCAAGAAACAATACGCTGTTGTTCAATAGAGTCTAAATAAAAAGCTAAACATATTTTTTATGTTTTTCTTAACAGTATAGCACGATGAGTCTCATGGATTTTGTGAGTAGTCCCTGTTCAAAGACCTCCTTGTATCTAATCTGGTGAAGCCAAAGTCAGCCATGTCGAACTCCCAGGAACAAAGCCTGGACGAGAACGCCGTCTTCTTGCCCACGTCCGAATCGTCCCCGGGTTTCCTCTACTCTGAGACGGAGCGATTGGCTTTGGAGAGACTTTTAAACGCTGGGCCTGAAGGCTTCTACAGCACCGCGGGGTCACAACTTTCCAGCAGCTTCCTTTCACCAGAGGAAGTCACAAACATCACAAACTGGGCCCAGGACTATCAGCTGAGTCCAAAGCCAGAGCTGTGGGAAAATGTGCTGGAATTGGAGGATTATTGTTCCACGTACTACCCTGGGCATTCGGATACCCCGCCTCCAGGCCTGTGTCTGGGGTGGCCCGAGAGCAGCACCTGGAGAGAGCGAGAGAACAGTGTGAAGGTGTACAGCAGCCCCCCAGTGGAAGACGAGCCCCCCGTGAGAGAGCTCATCCGACAGCATCTGCAGAAGGCCACTCAAGTATGCTTCTTTACCTACATGGATTCTGCTGACATTCTGTTGTTGTCATTTTTGCTATTTAACCTTTATTTAACAAGAAAAGTCCCATTGAGATTAAGACAAGAGGCAGCTAACGTTGTACATTGTTAAATACAATTACTGATTATAAGAAACAGTTACACGGAATTCCATAAAATTCCACATTATCAAAACACTTACATTTAAATGAGGATGTCTCAAGTGCTCTCAATCTGGATTTAAACATTTTCAATTAAATAATTCAGTTAATTTCTCATTTCTATTGTAGCTTTTAATCATGTTTCAACATAGTTCCCTGATCAAAAACAGAGCTGAAGTTGGCCTCTCTGTAAAAGCTCCTGTCTCAGTCCTGTAATAATGTGATATATTTGAACCACTATAACATTACACTCTGAGCCATTTTCTCCCTTGTAAAACAAAAGTATTGTCCATAAAAGGATTTTGGCAATTTATATGAAAGTACGTTCTTCACAATTAATTTTGAGATTTGGAAGAAAGCCAAGCAAACTCAACTCTGTGGATGCATAGGGATTGGGCAGGCCGATAGATGTTTCACCTTAAATCTTCTGAAGATATTATTTCACTCTAAAACATGAAAAGTAAAACGTTTCGCTATCCTGCATAAGGGCCAAAAATAATGCCTAATTTTTTCTTCAAAACGTCTTTAGAAACTGCGTCACTGTTGAAGACCCTGTTTACTAAAGGAATATGCTTATGTATAATAAGGTTGTTCTAATTCACCAACGACTGTTTAAACGTTCTCCCCACCTCTGCGTAGGTTTCTTTTGGTTTCCCTAACCACTAAAAACATCTGTGTTTAGTATGAATGTAATGAGTGAGAGAACGATGATGGTCGAAGGGCTCGGGTTGCCATGTGCTCGGCCTCTCACTTCTGTCACCCCCGTGTGTGGAGTGAATGTATATGTAAATAAATAGAATGTTTCTATAAATATACATTTTACTTACATGATAAATGGTTGGTTTCAGGTCAGAATAGAAACAGAAGCCTGAATACCTGTAGTAAATATTTTGTAACGAGTATGGTACAAGTACTTATTGAATTATTTGAATTACACACAAACATAGAAATACAGATGAAAATGTAATGACAATAATACCTTTTAAATGTCACTATTGGGTCTTTCAGTCATTTATAGGGTCCTTTTGTTGATATAGGGTCCTTTTGTCGATATAGGGTCCTTTTGTCGCTATAGGGTCCTTCAGTCACTATAGGGTCCTTTAGTCTAAACACCACAGCATAGTGTTTGAGTAGCATTTATCTTTGTTGTTTCAAAAACGTGTTCTGTTTCAGGATGTAAAGCTCTGTTGTTTAAGTTGTATCTGACCTCAGTGGTCTTGTTTGGTTTCCAAATGTTTATGATTATGTAAGTGGGAGAAAAATATCGAATGCGTAAATGATTGTATTTTATTGTAAAATTCCAAAGCACTAAACAAAATATATGTATTGTACAGCACAGTAAATGATTTTGGTCAGTCTTTTGTATGTATTCCATCTCATTAGTTTTCGATAATCCCTAATGACATAACTGCAGCTGTGTTAAACGTTTCATGTCTTGTTACAGGTAATCGCCATAGTAACGGACAGATTGACGGACTGTTCTGTGATCGGGGACCTGCACAACGCCGCATCTCGTGGGGTTCCCGTGTACATCATATTAAATCAGAGGTCCACTCATGAGGGCACTGTGCAGCGGCTCTGGCATCCGGTAACACCACACACTACAACTCTAAACTCACACAAAAGAGGCATGAGGCAAAACCATAGACAGTAAAAAATTAATGGACGTAGTCACGCGTATCTCCGCTGTTCTAACTAATGGGCCAAAAATGTTGCTCTACTGGACCTATCCAAAATGGCCGCGAGTGGTCCCGCCCACAAGAAAATTGTGAAAAAACGCATCTGCGCATGCGTCAGCCGGCGCAACTCCATTCATTTGAACGGGAGACTTCAAAAATTCACAGCAAGTAAACTAGAGTGGTCCAAAAAAATCCACCCCCCTCAGCATTGACACACATGTGGAACAAAGCTTTGGGCCAAGAGCCAACTTGGTTCATCCTGTAAAGACGTTTTTGAGAGGTCTGCCAATGCTATATGGTCGCATTGGCTAATTCTTCTTCTGGGTCCACCTCCATCGGCCCGGGGTGGTATTGCAAGCATGTCAGCGCACGTCATTTTGGCCACTTTTGAGCTGGGACCCGCCCCCACTGGGCAAAACCAACACCTCCACCTCTAGAATAGTAGTTATCTAAGATTCAAGATTCGATAAAGTAAACTAATAAATGCATTATAACAAGCTCATTATATCTATTGAAGACAACACAAACTTATGATCGGTATCTTCAATTGTGTCATAACTTTAAGATTATGATACTCATTAAGGAATGAGCATTCAAAAGACATTATAGTATAGATATTTTTCTAAATCATTCAAATATTTCAATATTTGAAGTCAATTGTAATTGTCAAGAAATGTGAGTAGCTGGCTGTCAAGAAATGTGAGTATTTCTTTCCTAGCTGTAGGATTAACCTCAGGACAAGCCCCGCCCACACACACGCCTAGCAGCGACATTTGTTTATATCCTCAATAAATAAATGATGCTAACAGCTGATTCATTGGTCTTATGCAATCCTAAAAGCACAAACCTTGACACAGGTTGAATTAGGACGAGTATATCTCCGAGGTGCAAGTGTGTCGTTTTACAGAGAGGAATGCGGTGCACACTAAACACTCAGCTGAACTGGTTTCACTGCATTCTCTCGAGTTTTAGCGTTTCACAGAGAGAGGTCGGAAGGTTGAAAGAAGGGGTAAAGACGTCAGTAACGTTTACCTGGCTTATGTTAGGTAAAAGTTTTCAGCCTAAGGGAGGTTTCACAAAGACTGAACAAAACATTCCTTTTTGTTTCACTACATCTAAAACTTAAAAAGTATATTTTTTGCCCATTAAAAAGACAATTTACTTGTCATCTCATGTTTTAGAATATGAAAAGTAACAAAGAAGTAATTATATTAAAAGATCCTTTATTTGTCCCACAGTTGGAAATTTCAGTGTTGTATCATAAGTTATAGAACAGTAGGAATGAGGAGCATATGACACAAGATAAGTGAACAATAGCTAATTAAAATAAATCTAAATCTCTAACTCTAGCATCCAATAACAAGTACAAAATCTCCATCTTGAACATAATAATAGTTTAAAAAATGGTGGAATGGAGATTATATGGTGAAACAAGCATCACTGGTAAATAATTATTATCAGTCTGCTATTCCCGACGCTATTCCCAGATGGAGGGGTAACATTTTAGCTATTTTTCAATTTAAAAAATTACCAGCTTCAGAGACAGCCGTATGATACCTGAGACATTACGGAATCTATTTCATGGGCACTATCGCTGTTTAAAATCATTTTGAGTCATAGTGGAACAATTATTCTATGACAGGACTGAAACAGAAAGAGAGAAGAGGGGGCAGATCTAAAAACAAAAAACAAAAAAACCTCAAGGTCTGTTTTTGATCAGGAAAACGATGTTGAGGTTAAAATCTCAAACAGTTTTTGAGCAGAAATGACTCAACTTTGACCTTAAATAAATCACCATAAGTGTGGAGGATGGAGATTACTTGCAGGTCAGTAACGTTATGTTGCATTTACAGAACATGCAGGTGCGGGTGCTCGGAGGGAAGAGTTTCTGCTCGAGGGCGGGACGGATGGTGGTGGGAGAAATGAAAGACAAGTTTGTTCTGGTGGATTTACAGACTGTGATTCACGGCAGCTACAGGTGAGACTAAACAAAAACACAACCTCACGCTGTCATCGCCTCCTTCTTAGGTGCATAGTTATTTGTACTGTCTCTAAGATGTGATCGGCTCATGGAACTGGCAGCCATGACAGCACTATTCTCATCATATTGTGCACTTATAATTATTCCGTAAAAAACAATGAACTAGACACACATACTCGTTTTTTTGATTTTGCTGGTTTAATGCTGCTACAAATACAATCCAAGATTTTGTGAGAAGGTCCTTGCCTCAATTCATGACATGATAAACCAGCTGGATTTCACCAAAGACACTGGCAACCAAAATGGGAGACTCATGTGATGCTAATTCTGCTGTCTGATTGGATAGCCAGCTTGAAAACCAAAATATAGAACATTGTTAATATAATGTGGCTGTCATATCCATTGTTTAGAATGAACAGTTTGATCATAAAAGATTAAAAATGATTTGGACAATTGACCTTGTGTCTGGGATAATAACAGATAAAAGATGGAAACACATTTTTTTCTTTGAGCGTCTGTAGTGTGTTTTATTTATCCCACCAAGCCAGCATGGCAAAGCTGTGTTCCAGGTTCTTCCTTCTAGAAAGAGATATCACTTCGTTTTACATGCAAGACACACAGAAAAAACACAAGTTCAAGGCACCAACACAAAGAAGAAAAAAACAATAATGTGTACCTATCCAATTTTATGAAGTCCAATGATCCACCTACATTTTGACTGTGAGGGCAACACAAAAAGCAACAATTCTTTTCTACCAGAAGAACCTTTTCCTGCACATACCAAGCTAAGAAAAGTAATTAAGAGAAGAAAATTTTAAGAAAGTAAGATAAATGACAAATCAACTGAACTTGAGATGCAATTTAAAATGTAAACTTTACATACTGGAGTGATATGGGAGGATTTTCTTCTACTGGGTGGATCATCTAGACCAGGGATGTCAAAGTCAAATACATCATAATTCCCTAAACAACTAATTTTCTACAAGCCGAGGGCCGGACTGGTTCAATGTTTATTAAAACATATTAAGATGATTGCATATAATTGAACCAAGACCTAACACGGTGTTCCATATTTGATTAACAACACACTTCCTTCAAAGAGAAAACACTTGTCCTTAACATTGAATTAATAATCCAGTATTTTCTCATGTGCGGCCGGTTGTTATACTAAACAACTATTATCCCGGGGGCCAAGATAATTTCTTTGCGATCCGGATCTGGCCCCCGGGCCTTGACTTTGACACCTGTGATCTAGACTATTGGTCCTCCTAATTGTCAATCATTCCTGTGATATGTGAGACATGTTTCAATAGTGAATGAATGAATAAATTCTTTATTAGTCCCACAGTGAGAAAATTACAGTTCTTTCCAAAGATTCTGGATAATCCTCTGTTCAGTTCAAGTCAATTCTTTATTCACAAAACGTGTATGACCTCGTGTTAAGTTCAAATGTTTAACCTCTGTTAAATGTGTAATTTAGGTCCAGATATGGGATTTAAAAATAGTTTTATTGTTACTGTTCTGTGGATAAAGGTGTATTCTTATGACTTTTTAGGTTCTTCTAATAAGACAATTAAAGCAAAACCAAGCTAGTGCTGCTTAATTACCTGACATGTTTCGGCGGTACACTTCCGCCTTCATCAGAGGTGACACGTGATGGTGTGACGCGTCTCTTATCAGCTGTTGTTGCCGGAAGCAGTCAGTCTGACAGATCTCACAGATCCATCAGACTGACCGCGTCCCCCGCCGCGCTGTGGTCTCTGGAGAAGTGAGTCCCAAGTGTGAGCCAAGGTGAAGGCCCCCTCGTCTCTGTTGATGGTCCGTGTTCCCCGCTTCCTGATTTCGATCGCCTCTCGTTTCCATCTTTTGTATTTATGTTCTTCTGTTCCTACTATTTTTGCATTGTCCCAGTCCATGATGTGATTCTCTCTTTTGCAGTGGTCTGATATGGTCAGGTAATTAAGCAGCACTAGCTTGGTTTTGCTTTAATTGTCTTATTAGAAGAACCTAAAAAGTCATAAACATAAGAAGACAAAATGAATTTTCTACATTTGGTGTATTCTTATGTCTGCCACAGCCTCACATGGTCAGACGCTCACCTCCACCGGCAGCTCGTCACCGTCCTCACCGGTTCTGTGGTGGACTCTTTCGACCGAGAATTCAGGATCCTCTTTGCTGGTTCCTCCCCAGTCCCTGAACCACGGAGGACTTATTGGAACCAAATACCCAATCACATCAACAACTTTTCGGAAATAATGTTCCCTAAACATCTGCCGTACCTGGGGGCAGAGGTCACCAACCCTCCATCGCCCCCTAGTGATGCGCTGTTGGACTGGGAGGCCATGGGGGTGATGAGCGGAGGCTGCAGTGTCCCCAATAGTCCACTGGAGCAGCACCAGGACGTGTTTTTGAAAGATAAACCAGTCCTTAATAATGCCGCCACCACCACAGACAAGAATACAACCTTTGCGGATCATTTTTTTAGCACTAAACACTTGCCTCTCGACAAAAAGAGGTAAGTGTGTGTAAACGTGTACCGTATTTTTCAGATTATAAGTCGCACCAGCCTGAAATGCAAAATAAAGAAGGGGGAAAAATGTATAATAGTCGCACTAGAGTATAAATAGCCCTTATATGTATTTGATAAAATCCAACACCAAGAATATACATTTCATCTTGAATGACTTGTATATAAATGTAGATGAGGACTTCTTTAATATGATATACAGAGTGTGGGATTTGCTGACCTAAATACATTTGCTCATACAGGTAGAAATCGCACCCCCAGCCAAACTATGACAAAAACTGCAACTTACAATGCAAAATATACAGTATTTATGTGCGTAATGTGGAGATTTTGTGAAATGGGAAGATAATAGCATATTGAAAAGAGGAAAATTCAGGTTGTTCATGTAAAGAAAATACATGTATGGTCTGTTTTACAAATAAGGGTTAAAATTGATGCATAATTTTAGCCATTTTCAATTATATAACCATTGTCAGGAATATGTATTTTGGTAAATCACTGTGTATTTCCTTGATTAATATTGGATTGGAATATAAGAAATTCAATCTATTCAACCATTGTACATAAGCAGGTTTTGGTCATCATAAATATTGAGGCTTTTTTTCTTTGTGCACTAATTTTTTAATTTGTCTTAAACTTACCAGGTTAAGTGAGCCACCCCCACCTCCTATTTCTCCTGTCAGCAACTATATGTCACATCTGATCACATCCTACAGGTAAACCAGCCATGTAATATTATAATAATAATGATTTATATTTAGTTTATGGTTTGAAATGTTTAAAATGCATTTAATTTATTTCTCAGCAAAACAAATCCGGTAAAGCAGGAGCCACCCAGTCCAGAGATGAGGTTTGAAAAAAGGTAGTTTATACAATATACTATAGATTGTGAAAACGATTGTGTAGCTTGTGAAAAAACACAAAAATATATCACAATAATCATATACACATTTATATACCCTGTAAAACATTAATTTGCCATTTTTTTGCAGGATAGAGCCCCGGGTGGAAAGAACTGTTGCAAGACAAATTTCCCAAGAAAATACAAAATATGATAGATACTTAAAGAGACCTGAGAAGGAGCCCGATCCATTGCACAATGTAAACACATTTTCCCACATTAAGAGACACCAGGAGGTATCTACTGTGAAAGATGAGAGCAGCAACAGAGACAGATCTGCTCTCACGCTGGAAAACACATCTTCCTCAAGAGTAAGTATTAGAGAATATTCATAACCATGGACGTCGGAACTATTTTCTGAGAGGGGGGGCGGGTTTTTGTTGGGAGAGTCGAGGGAGAGACTCATACTTGGATTACACTGGATAATAACATACCATCTTAATTGTTAAAAAAAATAAACAATATATATCAAGCAAGTCACTTATCAAACTGAACTTTTTTTTTTTCAATACGCATTCATGCGTCAGTCTCTCCGGTGGCTTCATTGTGTTGTGTAGCCCAGTGACGTGCGGTCAGATGAGGCAGGTAAGGCCCTCACCTAAGATCATAGAAAGAAAAGTAATATAATGGATACAATAATGTTTGGTCACTTTATCAAGTGATTTGTGCTGTGCCTTATTTAATTTATTTATACCTTGAAATCGCAGATTTGACAGAGCGGCGCTGTGAGGCAAGCCTCTCTTGGGAGACGTAAAAAGCAACAGCTCACAGGGAGAGTCCTGTGAGGTGCTATCAAACTGTTTTCTCTGTTTATCACAGTTTAAAAAGTTCAAAAATATTTAATTTACAATCAACATGTTTACATTTAAGAGGATGGCTCATAAATTGTGTTTTTGAAGCAAATATGGGTCTTAATCGCGCTCAACCACAGCTTGTAAGTGAGGAAAGCCTCAAGGGGGCGCTTGTGAGCCCAACTTTGGCTGCATCCAATTCCATCAGAAAGCTCCTTTCTTGTTCTTCTTCTGCTAAGGGCAGCTACAGGTTTGGCTAACATACCTATAATACATTTTAAGATAATTTAAAATGCACTTAGAGTAATGTTTTGCTTCCAATGATGATATGAATCATAAGAAAAAGAGGTGAAGGGTAAGGTTGAATTTAGAAATTGGATTTACCCGGGAGTCGGCTGCAGCAAAACTCGCAGTTTACGGAGGAGACACCCGTTTTTTTTTACTTTTTAAAACTCATTGAACTTATTTCCAAATGGAGGATTACATGTCTGTGCTCAAACTATTATCTGGACTTAACATGAAACTGGTCCTAACTGAAGTGGTCTGTGCTGTTCATTAACACCTAAGGTATAAGGCCCATAACACACTTTGTACTTTTTACAAACGTTTGCGTTTTGTATGAGAAAAACTATGCAGACATTAAATCATATTCTGCTGTAGCCAAACAAATTGTGTATAAGCCGCTCCTGTTCCTGTAGGTCCTGTTGGTTTATATGATGTATAATCATATGAACAAATGATTGATCCCCCACCGCACGTCACTGGTGTAGCCAGGTCTTTAATCTGCGCAAGGCTGAGAAAGAGCGCTCAGAGGCTGCGACAGATATTAGCCAGACAGAGCTTCATAAGCTTCTCCGACAGCATGGAGCGGGTTTTGGGCTGCAAGGAACGCAGGATAGTGATAACTTCTCGCTCCCGGCACACGCGGGGGGGTGCGGCCGCACCAGGGGGTGCGGCCGCACCCCCCCGCACCCCTAGTTCCGACGTCTATGTTCATTAACACATTAAAATAAGTATTATTACATAATAAATACGATAAGGTGAGCTATGTGACCCACCTAAGCCTGCTACTATCCTATTATTACTATATATCATTGAACACCTAATGGAGAATATAGATCTGCTTTGGTGCTATTTCTTTCCTGTACCTTAAAATAAACTCCTACATTAGGACTGAAGGGTTATGCATTGTCAGGAGGAACACCGACAAGTTTAGCGGCTTTAATGTCGAACATAACACTGGTCATGTAGCATCAGTCATACAGCATCAGAACACATGTATTGATCAGGAAGCGTTTTTATACCCGCCAGCCACATCACTGCTTCAGCAATTACACATAAAATAGTGCCATCACAGAGACCACCACCCAGACCAAGAGATACTGGCCATGAACGCATGCTAGGACATACTCATTTCAATTAAATTCCAATAATTTTCCTTGTCCATGAGGAACTTTATTGCAGACAGAGCACCAGTTGCATAATTAGGGGATGCATATATAAAAACACATAAACACAAGATATAAAAAAAATAAACACGCAGAAATGCAGTGTAAAATCCATAAAATAGATCATAATCTGCTTCAGCCGAAAACAGCTGTTTAAAAGATGGATTGAGGTGGGAAGGAGGCTTGATGTGGCCCTTTGAGTTTTGAACGGGAAGGACCTGTACCTACAGTATATCAATCAAGACTCATAACACCCAAAGTCAGGATTGATCTCATCTTGGCTCAATAGAACCACAGCCTTTGCGTTAGGGACAATCATAAACTCATGTCTCTTTCCTCCTCTGGAAGCTGGGAGCTCCATGCTTGGGCTTGATTCTTCCAGTAGATCCAACTCACAAACAGTTGGTGATTAGTGCACCAGTAGGATGCACCAGTAGGATGCACCAGTAGGATGCACCAGTAGGATGCACCAGTATGATGCACCAGTAGGATGCACCAGTAGGAGGCACCAGTAGGATCCACCAGTATGATGCACCAGTAGGATGCACCAGTAGGATGCACCAGTAGGATGTACCAGTAGGATGCACCAGTAGGATCCACCAGTATGATGCACCAGTAGGATGCACCAGTAGGATATCCCCAGTGCTCTGTCTCGTATACTCCAAAGTACAGGTGCTGTGCTTTGTTTAGTCAATTATCAATTACTTTTTGCTTTGAGAATCCAGTGGCATAATCCCCGCCAGCAGGACACAGAGCTCCTATGATCATCAGGGCACGCATATTTAGTGGCATGGGGGACCCGACTTTTGTATTTCTTATTTCTAATTAGGTTTTATTTGTACAATAGGTATAACAACAATAAATGCAGTTGAATGTTACTGAACCTTCTAAACATTTTTTGTAGAAACCTCTTATCATACGAATGCCTCAATCTGAAGACACCAGCTCTCTCAGTGACATCATGACGAGAATTAAGATGAAGCAAAGCACCCAGGAGCACCCGAGGGACCAGCCAAGGGACCACCTGAGAGACCACCCGAGAGACCAGCCGAGAGACCACCTGAGGGACCACCCGAGAGACCAGCCGAGAGACCAGTCATGGGACCAGCCGAGGGAGCGCTCCAGGACGGCATACGCAGAGCTGAGCCGGTCCATGGTGGATCTGAGTGTCCACAGCCCGGTGCAAGACGACAAAGCCGCCCCAGTGCCACGCTTCAGGGCAGGAGTGAGTACTAACTATAGCAAACTGATGAGGCCTGCGTCTGCTTACACAACACTTACTAATGGATCATTCGATGTGCGGCTTTATGTGCCTTGCTGACCCAAAGTTTTTATTAAGATCATTTCAGTAGATCGAGGTCCCTGTGAGATGCTCATATCCACTGTAAATGCAAATCAAGCCAAGTCTTTTGTAGTTGCACATAAGTATATAAAGACGTTAAGACCTGGGTCCTTGGTTGCAAAAGAAAGAGAGACAGCCAAATGTGTTTGACCCTTGCCAGTATTTTGTAGTGTTTTTTGTCATGTAGAGTGCTTAGGGTTTGTGTTGAATGCAAAACCTGTGTCATTTAATGTAAGTGTTAAATACGAGTGCAATCAAACCTGTAAAATAAAATGCATTTATCTTTTTGCTTGTTAAATACAGTAAATAGAAGGCTACTGTGTGTCTTCACAGGCGTTGGATGTGGAGTTGCTGAGTCCAGCTTTGGCCCTGATGCAGAAGAGGAACGACCACATCCGAACAACTATGATGTTCCACACTCCCCTGAGCTTCCAGCCTCAAGACCGGCCACGCAGCTTCGCCTTCAGCCCAGACTGGAGGAACTCTCTGTCGAGGCTGGATGCAAAGGAGGACGGACAATGAAGATACAATTACTTGATCAAATGTGTATTCATGAAAGTATGGTGGCTACAATTAAGTGACCCATTCAGTGTTAATATCTTATGGAAATAACAGATATCGAAACTGAAATGAAGTGTGGCAGTCTTAAGCTCTTATCTGTAAATAAAATGATGCTGCTATACTTTTTTGCTATGTTGTTAATGTACTTTTTTTTTTTTCATAATATAAGATAGTTACAGAATGCATACAATGTTAAACTAATGAAATAGTTGGCTAGGTAAGATTTGAAAGTTAACACAGATAGATAGATGGATAGTTTAGGAAGATTCATCTTGTCTTCTTAGAAGAATTAAAAGTATTGGGTTCTTCTATACCAGACAATATAAGCCATAAAACCACAAAAAACCTTGTCTGGTATAGAATAACCCAATACTTTTAATTTTAGATAGATGGATAGATACTTTATTGATCCCCATAGGACAAATTCAGGTGTCCAGTAGCAGCAAAAAAATAAATAATTTGCACAGTTATGATGGTCCCGAAAAGAGATTTAAATGTTACCTTTCATAGACATTACAAATTTTTATCTTAAAAAAGCACAGCCAACTGTTCGTTTAACTCAAACATATCACAATTGATGAAAAAAATGCAGGTTTCAACTTTGTGTTGTCCACCCTTAGACATATACAGAACAGTCCATGAGTCCAACTATCTCATGAATATCTTGAGAGAGTTATCTTTTGGATCAAACTTTATTGATGGAGAATTACTTTGATACAGTAGCTCACTCATGCATGTTCGCCAAAAAGTGTTCAAAGTGAAAATAGCAAAAGATATAGTGTTATAAATATGCAACAAATCCAACTTTGCTCTGATTTCAGCCACTCTTTCCGGCGTCCGGTGTAGATGTTGAGGTCTGTTTGCAGTTCTATGTCAATAACACTAACACAGGAAGCAAAACCTGAGGCTTAATCTTTATTTCATAATGAAAGTATAATGTGGGGTGTGCCCATATCCCCATGTTCCTGTTCAGTACACTATATTGCAGTTGGGCTCAGTTGCCGCTTGGTGGCAGCAGTGTGCACAGTCGTGGTTTTCGCACAATAAAACCAGGCGAAAGAGAAACCCGGAAACACATGGCGACAACAGCCTGAGCCGAGGACACAAATCTGTTATAAACACATATTTTATTATCACGTTTATGCAAAACCCTAAATTAAATTCTCTACAAGTGTTTTATGAAAGAACTCTGGTCCGTCACATCTCAACATGGTTCGTGCTCAGCGGTGAGTGAAAGGTTTGGTGTCTTCAATATGACTTCAATTCAACGTGTTTTTTATTGTATTATCATAACAGTTTAGTTATCTCCGAGGACTTGACAAAGTTGCCAACACAGATCAGAGAATCAAACTATTCAAACACAGGAAATGCAGTGATAAATTAAAAAAAGATTGCTCACTTTCCAATGACTTTCTATGTTAATGAAACCTCATACTATCGCACTGATTATTTTGTCTTGTTAGATCCAAACCAAGACGGATCCCAAAGAAAACACCTCAGTATGGTGAAGATGACCCAGAGGCGTACAAGGACCTGCCTGTGCCTAACAAGGTACATTTGATTTTCAGGTCAATAATCGCATGCTTTTATGGATATAGTTTAAACGTCTTGTGTCTATTTGTAACTTACTTCGTTATAAATAATAGCTGGGTGTTGAAATTAAATCAAAATGTAATATATTTTATTGAATGCACTGTGATTATTTATTTTAATGCCTTGTGTAACTGTCGATCTTATTTTGTTCAGCACTTTGAGTTGCCTTTTTGTGCTATAAAAAATATTTATTTTTAGCACAATTCACACTTTCCTGTATCCTCAATTACAATCTAAAAATAAAACACCTTTTACAAAGTTATAGTAGTGAGTAAGTTATCTTTATTTATGTACTTTACAATGTTCAGAGTTCAGATGCTATTGTACAATGATAGTTAATATATGAATAAAGTATTTTGTTATTGTACAGATGAACACTTTATATTGGTGCCGAGCTGTAATTGTACATATACATTACATATATACTTTTTAGAGGGCATCCAGTTACACAAAGGACAAAGTTGACGAGTTTCACGATGAAAAGATTGCAGTAAGTGTGACGTACATTTAAATATATTTTTCAGGTCCTATATGTAATGCTGATTTTTCTTTTATAGAGTCTTCTTGCCCGTGGAGTTCAGATGGACAGTGAGGAAGAAGAGCTGGATGACGAGGTTGGTGAACTTACTTTGGTCGATTTAGTCAAAGTAATTGTCTTATTGCGGCTGTCTCCTAGCACAAATATTACATTTTTTCAGACGTACTGTTAATGATGCCGATTACTCTGAACATGCATAAAACAGTGATAAACGGAGCTAAAAATGAGGAAACCCTTTTATTACAAGGTTTTAAAAAAATCTTTCATATTGTACTGTGGTTTTGCTGAATCAAATAGGAGCATGCTTTAAAATGTTAATGTATTAAAAATGAAATAAACACAGTATTTTATGGTTTTCAGGAGGAAGTAATGGCTCTGGATGATTCTGAGGAAGAGGAGGATGACATGGAGAGTGACTTGGAAGAAAAGAAAGAGGAAGGTAAGTGTGGGTCGGCACAGTAAGAACTATTATTTTTCTTCCCACCACATTTCAAGCTAAGAAATGGAGCTGACCAATTAATCACAATAATAATAAAAGTCACTTGAATTTTGGAACGTTTCTTTCGATTAGAGTAAAACTTATGATCTGTCTTGTTGACAAGTAGAAGCACTATTTTCTCATTCTAGAAAAGATATTTCATCTTTTCCCAAATTGAAGTACGTCAAAACTGTCCAAATGTGTTGCACAGCTCAGCTCAGAGCTTAGTGAGTTCTTATTTAGGATGAAAATATTTTTACTAGCGATTAGAAATGACCATTGAAGATTCTTTAGTATTTGTAAATAATTTGTCAACTTTGAAAGAAATTGGAATTTTTAAACGTACAGTAAAAACCTCATAACAATTGTAACTCATTGTAATGTTTATTTATTTAGCACAATTTACAGACCAATGTCACCCAAAGAAACAATTGTTCAGAGTTCAATTAGAAAATCATAAAAAACGTCATGAACAGCTAGTTTGGTTATATAAACGTGAATGAATGAATTGTAAATATTGTTGTCAACATATGGTAACAACTACTACTGTTTACTCAAATTATTTTTTATTTCTTATTTTCTGTTTCTCCCAGATCTTCCAGATGAAATGGCATGGGGCAAAAAGAAGAAAATGTTTTATGACACAGACTATGTCACCGCCAGTAAGTGTGTTTCTCTTTTATAATGATACAGAGGAAAAAAGAGCCCACTTCATTCCTAAAGCTGGGTTTCCTAACCTACTTAGAAAACTTGTTATTTTGACTTTAAGCTGTTATTTTATTTTCCTAATCATTTACTATATTTACGTTTTGTGTTTTTTGTATTTACAGAAGGGAAAAAGGCTGAAGAGTTAGAACAAGAAGAAAAAGAGGAGGAAGAGGAAGCCATCAAGATCCAAAAGCGTCTCGCCGCAAATCTGAGTGAGGAAGATTATGACTTGAGTTTCTTCCAGGTAATTTATATTCTTCTAAGATTCGTTTTCACGGTTTTTTCTTCAATTAGTTTAATATTTGTAATTTATGGCATTGAATTAGGAGTTTGCTGTGGAAGAGAAGGACGAAGAGAGACCTGTCAAAACTGAGGTAAAGATTGTAAAAGATTTGAAAGAAATGTCCCAAAAGGAAAAGATCAAACTGCTGAAGAAGGAGTCTCCAGAATTACTCGAACTCATCCAGGATTTCAAGAAAAAGGTATTTCTCGTCACAAATGTTAAGTTTGCAAACATGGGCCTTACTTTAACCTTGTATTGCATGGTTCCAGCTTACAGAACTGAAAGATGAGATACAGCCTCTTGTTCAGATGGTCACGGACGGAAAGATCGCCCCAGGAAAAGTTGGTGTATTTTATGAAGTTGTAGAAATTGAAGCTGGGGTACCCATCTTTTTAAACTGCAAACTACTGCGTAAAGCTATTTCCTCGCTCTCCATTACTGATTTCACATGCATGTATTTGTGGCCCCTGTCTGCTTCTACAGACAGAGAAGTGACTGAGTGAGGGTGGTCCTATCTTTTACAATCAGTTCTCAGCCTGAAGAGTCAAGTAGTGGCTTACAGAGCTCTTTATTACAAGTATACATAAAAATAACGTGTTTTCAAGTAAGATGAGGAGGACATGTGGTCAGTGAAATTGCAATCTCACTCGGGGCCAGTAGGAGTGGGCCCGGAAAGAGAATTATCCAATGGTTTGGTACGGCGTCTTCTTTCCTCTCAAAAGGCTTTACAGGATGGCCCAACGCTACGTTCCAAATGTGTGTTAATGCTGAGGGTAGGATTTTCTTATGGACCAGTCTTGTTTAGCTGATGTGGACTTCAGAATGCTCTCGTTAAATGGGGCTCATGCCGGCTAACCCATGCGCAAATGCGTTTTTTTCACATTTTCCTGCCCCGCGGCCATCTTGAAAAAGCCCTACAGAAGGCAAAAGTGGTGGCACATTAGTTTCAACGGCGGGGATAGGCGTGACATGTCTTATTTCTGAACAAAAAGCCAGCTACCTTTGCTTCAATTGGGTACAATGTGTATAAACATCATGTAACAATTTGTTTCAGACTGCAGAGTACCTCAAAACTAAGCAGCAGCTGTATTTAAAGTAAGTTACATATCGATTATCCATTTTAGTTAAACTTATTATCCATCTAAGATAAGATAAGATTTTATTAATAAGACTTCATTGATATCACAATAGAGAAACGTACATGTCACAGTAGGCATAAATAAGATCACTACGGGCTATGCGTATAACTTTTGAGATTCATTTTCTCTTGTTTTAAGCTACTGCACAAATATCAGCTTCTACATGGTGCTGAAAGCGAAAAGGATCCCCGCTCACAACCACCCGGTGATCGAGCGACTTTTCACCTACAGAAACGTGAGTGTCTGCAAACAAAAGAGAAGATAACATTTCTGCAGGAGTGCTTGGTGTAAAAAAACAAAGTGCGTGTCTTTCACAGCTCATCAATGAACTCAGTGCAGTAGATTCCAGACTTGCGCCACTGTTTCAAAAGCTGCTCTCTGAAGGAGGGAGCCGGAAAGCAGAAGGCAAGAAGACGAGTGAAACAGAAAAGGTTGGATCAATAATTACTCTTTCTATTAATAGCAACATATGTATACGATTATTTTTATTAGTTATTATGTGTGTACTGTTTTTCTCCCCATTTTTATTTTTATTTTAAGACCAATACATTTTACATACACTTTCTCTCATAAATTAGTTCCTTACATTCATGAACAATTGTGACCATAATGTATTTTTTTTCTGGCTGGAAGATGTTTGTGTTTTATTTTCAAAGAAAGAAAATAAAATGGGGTGGGGGGGTAAACCCATAAGTTAAATTATTGATATGAAAGTTTTTAATTATGAAAATCGTCCTTGATTATCAGAGCCCTGAGGATGTCGCTTCTATGGACGAGGAAGACTCGGACTCTGACCTGGACGAAGAAGCAGCGTTGCAGTTTTACAAAGGCGTCGAACAGAGACTGAAGCTCAAGCGGAAAGGCAGAACTCCAGAGGCCGAAGAGTGAGTTCACCAAGATTATTCTTTGATTCATGAACGGGGCTGAACAACGTGGGGCTTTTCTTACAGATCTGGTGAGAAGGAAGACGGGGAGAACGACGACGGTGATGGCGAGGCCAAGAGAGGAATCACGTATCAGGTGAGTTTGAGTTTGTTGAGGTTGTAACCAGATCCTGACACCTTTTTCATGATCTCTAGACAACAATTTGTGAACATAGTAAGGTGGAAGTGTGTCTCAGGTTACAAATGCATACATAAACTCGAATGCCGTCTGCAATCGTTTGTGAATTCTAAGTATCGTCAACGTTTCTGAAAAGTATTTATATTTTTGTCAATCGTGAAAATCAAGGTCAGCATAACGTGCACATTTCTTTGCGGTCGCTCAGCTCTCGGCCCCACAATCCACAAAAATACACTACATAGGTTAGAAGTATGTTTTTTAGTATTATTTTAAGCCTAAGTTTTTTTAGAGGCTCAAATTTGATCTGTCCAATATGAGATTTTTTTTTTTTTTTATTGCTTCTTTTTCCCCATTATATCAAACTTTACCTACATTTACCAATGGTCTAGAAATAAGCCTTTTCCAGGTATTTCATTGTCTGTATTTGCATTTGTATCAGCTTTCTGACTTATTAGCCATTTGATGTGCATTTTGTGGATTTCATCGTCCCAAATAATGAGACGAAAGAAGTTTCCGCCATGATCAATTATGCAGGAAGGAATTAAATTTTAATTTTGTTTTTGCTTTTTTTTACAATTGTGATTATAGCCGCCTCTGATAATTGTATAAGTCCAGGTAAAATGTGATGTCTAAAGCCAATCCTTTTTTGTTGATTGCATTTGTTTATGCTATATTCTGAAATGTAAAGTAAATGGATTCTCGTGTTAAACTTCCAGATGGCCAAGAATAAGGGATTGACACCAAAGAGGAAGAAGATCGATCGTAATCCAAGAGTCAAACACAGAGAGAAGTTTAGACGCGCCAAGATCCGCAGAAAGGGACAGGTTTGTAGTTCTTCTGTTTTAAGTGATGTTTTTATTTGTTCAAATCCTAAACATTGATGACGTCTCCTCAGGTTCGGGAGGTGCGCACCGAGGACAAACGTTACAGTGGAGAGGCGTCTGGCATCCGCGCTGGAGTCAAGAAGAGCATCAAACTCAAAGTCTGACTCCACATGTTTCAGATGGACGGACAGCTTTGCATCCACACACATCTGGAGTTTTAATGAATATTTGACATTATTACATATTATTGAAATGTCACATGAGTTTGCATTAATAAGATTGTTCACACACTGGTTTAGAATAAGGGAACATTATCCAGGAATAACAACAATGTGACAGATAAAGTGAAACGCACACAAAAACTGTACTGATGTCTCGACAGGTTTTGTGATCTATTTTATTCACAAAGAATTCGATCTTTACTAATAAGCCCACCTATATATATGTCAAATGCATTTTGTCCACATGTTGGCATTCTAATTTGTTAAATTTAACAAACAGCCAATAGAACAACATACATATACAGTCTATGGTTTCAACACAATATTGACTTTTTATGGACAAAAGCATTCTGGGAAATAAACTGACTCTGGAGGAGGCAAACATTCCCTGTTGGTTTCCATTTCGATTCATTTACCCTTTACTTTTGACTAATGTGCATCTTATAGCTACTTTTACACTGACAAAAGCCTTAATTACAAAAAATAAGTCCCTTGTATTTCTGTCAACTTAGCTGTTCACATAAACCACCGCTGACCGAGCTGTGTCTACATCATTTCCTGCTCCCCAATAGTTACTTTAACAAATATATACATTGACCGCATTGCTATGTGTTGTTAGTTTATAATACGGAAGTTATGGTGTATATAAATGGCAGCTGTAAACAAAAGGAAAGGTAAAAAATTCTGATCTTAAAGATACTTTTATTACATAAACCGGTTTAATTGCACATTAAACAACTCAAAGTTGTATTAAAAAGGTGGCATTAACTGAAATGTGAACTTTAATAGCATACAGCAGTCTCTGAATTAATAAAAATTGGTAAGGATAAAGTTAATTTGACCTAAATAGAATAACTGACATTTCTCTTAAATATAATCCACCTTGAGAACAGTTAGTACAATCATTTACGCCGAGATTCAGTAGTTTTGACAAGTTAAAGGCTTAGTAGCTGCATAATTAAAAGCAGCCGAGAAATGACCAAGAGATCATTTACATGCCTTGTACAATCGGTAGTTTTGGTGTTAGGCCTGGCCTCAGACCTGATCAATAAACTTCTGATGTGCCGACGTCAAGTTGCTCACTATGCGCTCCTCGATCTCAATATCCTGTTTCACGTCTTCATCTGTCAAAAGCAGCTCCACCGCAGAGTCTGGCGTCACCACCACCACGTAACCCCTCCGAGAGTCCAGCACGTTGGCCACCACAGCCTGGTGCCTGTAAGTGTCCAGGGCCCTTTTGGCTTTGTCCAAGAGGATGGACGCGTCAGTCTCCAGTTTGAATGAAATGACGAAAGCTTGTGGTGCCCAGTCCTTCACCAGCGGAGACAAGATCTTAGGGACCATGTTCAAACTCAGCTGCAGAAGAGAAAGCATCATTTAAATGCACTGAATTATGTTGGATTTTATCATAATATACTCAGGGTAAGGGACCAACGGTGCACCAGGAAACACATAAAACAATTTGAATATTTAGGCTTTTTGATCAGCCAAAAAATATGTACAAAATATAAATCAGAATGACCAACCAAAAGACACACAATGAGAACATTTAAGCTGGGTGATCAAACCAACTAACAAAGGGGTAAAAAGACTACTACACAAAACAAATATCTAAATGTGTTTAAATTAGCATAAGGAAAAAGAAGGTACCTAACCTAATAGTTAAAATCATATCATTGGCAATGTTTAGCTGTAAACAATATAAACTAATAAAACCTCCCCTCCTACGGTCCTGCCATGGTTCAGGCCATAGGGTGGGGCCTGGAGGTAACAGCCCCAGCTGAAGTGGGTGTAGGTGGAGTCAGCCCACAGGAGAGTGGGTTCAAAGTGTGAGTGTGGAGCATGGATCTATAATTATACACTCTGGTTAAACATTATATCTTTTTATCATATTCAGGATTAAAGCTATTGAGAGAAAATTAGGTGTATGGCTGCATCCACATTCACACTTTATGAGACAGAATTTGACCAGGAGTGAAAAAGAAGAATTTTTTAAGACTGATTATATTCATGAAAGAACGACGACGAGAAGACCTGGATAGCATGACTGATTCAGAGTGTAAATTAATTGAGTCTACTATAACCTCCAATCTTACCTGCAAACAAGCCATGGTCTCTTTTATTAATAATGATAATGCAAAAACGACATGCTTGACCTACCCTGAAGTTACTATTGATTCACTCCGTACTCAGTAGTGACTCACATTTATACTGCTGAATATTTTGGGTGGTGGGGGAACCGCAGCGCCTGAAGGAAACCCTCCCAAACAAGTGGAGCAACATGCAAGCTTTACGCGGAAAGAGAAAACCTTGCTCTTCAGGTCTCTCTAGGACATTTATGCATTGGTAAAGACTTACCTGTAATGGACCATTTGAAGACTGAATTTTATGTTCAGGCATCTCTGAAGCAGGAATGTAAAAATCAGAGACTGCAGCAGCCAAATAGAACATCGCCATGGAACCTGAATAGACAATACAATATTTTGTACAGATATTTTCACGGCTTTAACTATCACTACGACCGGTTTTACATTTATCTGACTACGTTTTGGAATCTGCAGCATGTGACTTGCAGACATACAGATAAAATTGTATAGATTATATTCAAGGTTTAAGGTGACTTTTTTATACTCGTGGGTAGATTCTTTTTGCAGTTAAAAAGAGATAGACTTGGCATCTGTCTTTTACTTGGCATAAGATTTCAAGATATTACTTGACAACTTATCTTATCCTTTTACTTCTATAAAAAATCCACAGTAAGAGAGAATCTTTATATGTCCCACAGTTGGGAAAATTAAATTCATACAGGACACTGGGAGCACACAAAATATACAATCTATGTATCTGCTATGTTTCTTAGCTCGCTGTAAATGCTTCAATATCAATATATAAATATATCTTTATCGACATAGATATAAATATAGTGCAAAGTTATATACAAATAGGGCAGGGTGTTACCTATTGTGCTGACGGCCTGAGCTGTTGCTTTGAGGAGATGCAGATACTCGGAGAGTGCGCTGAACTCTATGGGCAGAAGGAGCCTGCTTTCTTTCACTTCCTGAAAGCGTTTTAGCACCTTGTAGATATTGGGAAGCACCTCCTGATTGACCACCACCTCGTCTTCTCCTTGCTCTCTCGTCTGGAGCTGCAGTGCATCCAGTATGTTGACGGTCGAGAACATTCTACTGTACGGATACAGAGAGCGATGCCTGTGTAAGAAGATGACCGCGTAACCAGCCTCTATGAAGTACTCTGCAGAAGAAGCCCCTCGGCGCCCACTGCTGAAGTTGTCCAGAAAGCGGACGGTGCGAGATTCCAGGGGGACTTTGGTGCCTCCGGAGGTGATCACAACCACCCTACGCCCCTCTGAAGCATGGCACCGTGCGAACTCTGCCATCCGTGTTTTCACTTCCTCCACATGGGCCGGGACAGCAAACTCCTCTGCCAGTTTTCCATCTATGTTTGGTTCTGTCATGGCCTGAAGTCAGAGACAGTCAGAGACAGTCAGAGGGAAGAGGTTACGAATATGATTGGACCAGAAGGATTTAATCATGAAGGAAAAGTATTCATCATGCAACTCCAATTAATAATCCAAATACATTAAAAACAGAAGCACTTTATATTCAAATACATGTATTTAGTCTTATTTGCCAAAAGTTGTCTCTAACAAAAATAATTATTCCAGAAAGGGTTTTGAAGACCATCAAAAAAACTATTGTATTTGATTTAGGACTAGTTTAGTTTAGTCCAACTCTGACAGTCTCTATTCGTCAAATAACAGGCACACTAACATTAAGCTCAAAGACAAATCTGTTCTGTATCAGATTACGAGACAGCTAGCCTTGGCAGCCCCTGGTTACAGGGAAAAAAAGAAAAATACAATAACATGCGATCAAATTACAACAATATGAATGCACAATACAATAAAGGCCTCCAACACCCAGGTAACAATATTCACTAACATGTACCATGCACCTAATACACACCAAGAGTCACGTTATTATGATTTCACTGTTGTACTAACAAGTTTTACTGTATGTATTTTGTGTACAAAAAAAATAAAAATAATAATTCAGTATCACTTTCATTTTGACTAAAAAAGGCTAATTTCCCCAAATAGCTATTCTTAAATAAAATAAAAAGCGGCCAAAAACACGATTATTATTGTGTACATTTGTGAGGATTTTGTCAAGAACGGAGGAAACTTTATTTATAAGCCACTAAACAACAACTTAGGGAAGGGCAAATGTTAAGTATTTTAAATATTACTCTAATGACACTTATCTATAAATATAAACTATTCCAAATGACCAGACGAACTTTCTAAGGTGCAGAACATGAAGGTAAACAGAACATATCTAACAGACTCACGGATTATGACGCTTCTGCAAAAACAAACACAGCTCTCAAATTCACTAACACGAAAACAAAAACCTCAGTCAAAGTTAAAGTGTCGCACGTTTTGTTCGGTTTGTTGTTGTGTTGCACTTCCTGGTTTGTGGGATCAGGACAGTAGTGACATTCTATAGTGGGCAAAGTGCGCCTCTTGTGGATGGGTGGAAGAACTGCATGAAGTCATCTAATTACTGGAATGAATGAATAGAATAGATAGATGGATGGATGCATTAATTAATTTATAGCACATTAATGGATGAATTAATTGATTTATAGCACTTCAATCCATTACCTAACATTTTTTGTCCTTGCCAATTTCGGTGCACTTTTACATCCGTTTTGTTATCATTTCTGAGGATACTACAATCTGGGCATTCTATTACTACTACTACAAATTCTACGAGTACTACTACTACTAATCAACATTATTTTAGTGCAAGTTTGCGTACCCTCGTAATCCATAAGTAATCCATAAATGTTCCAACCGCAGTAATTCAATGCAGCCAATAAGGGGCACTGTTGAACTATTGTAGAAGATAAAAAGTACTGTACTCTCATTTCTCTAGAGCCATATTATGGAAATCTTCTACTACTCTGTATTAAAGTTATGTTGGTGTGTGCAAATGACACCCTTTAGGAGAAAAAATAAACAAATGTAAAATGAATCCAAATGGTAAAAAGCATAATTTGTCAATGTATCCATCAGTTTCAGAATGATAAAAATGGAGTTCTCAAAATGTTGCAAGAAACAAAATACTGGAACTCACAATGTAAGTGTGTAAAATAAAAACAGATTAAGACAAAAGGTTTTAGAAAGAATGCTCCTGTAGAGAAATATGTAGATGTAGGCTAGACTCTGTCACAGTTTATCACATGATTTAAGCATATGCACTTGAATGAATCCAGAACACAATTACTCCTATTCAAGGGAGAGTTATCTAAATACATGAATTGAACTACAAGGAATACATAAACTAACAGTAAGTTACGGTGATTCTCTGTGCACTTTTTATATTCTAGAGTGTGTTTTACAGACCAATGGAAAAGTTTTGATACACTCATGGTCCTAGATTATTTCGCAGCAGGGTTAGAGGGGTTGTTGGGAAACCTTTGACGTGCGTAGTGTTTCGTGAATGAAAGTAGTTCCGGGCTTTTACCCAAACGAGGCAGAGACCCGGATGTTGGCTGGGCCCCGGGTTGCCAAGTCCGCATCTTTAGAGCGACTTTGGGGATGAGAGGTTATATATCTGATCAACTGTTTGTGAAAGGACACAATAATACAAGTTTTTTGTTGTTGCTAATTTAATAATTTATCGTATAAATGTGTTATTGTGTTCATTCAGTCAAATATCATTTATAAAGCGCTTTTCATACAAGAAATGCATCACAAAGTGCTTTAGAATTTGGTTAAAAACAATCCCCCATGCCCATGACTCCTCCAGCCAACAGTCCCAACCAAAACCACATTCATTATTAGGTAAATACATACCAAATAATTATCTTTATCTATTATTTAAAATAAATTAAGTGCTTGTTATCTCTCCTTTTATTCTTCTGTAATGTGCTCAAGGACAATTTCTTCGATAATTCTGAGAGACTAAAAAGGTTTATCTTATCTCTCTCTATATAATAATAATAATAATAATAATAATAATAATAATGGTAATAATAATGATATATGTGTTTATGAATAATAAAATCCTAATGATAATAATGATTATTATTAGTAATCAATTAAAAATAGTATCAAAAAGCAGTCTTTTTATAGTATGATCAAAACAGTTTCATAAACAAGACTAAATATGACCTATATTGAGCTTGAACTTGAGCAAATGTTATTCAAATAAAAGAATATTTGTATTGACTCCATATTGAGTATTTTTATCCAATATTCAAATTGAATTAAAAGTAAGTAAAAGTATTAGTTCCACATTATTAAATAACATTATTATATTTAATTGGCGTTAACAACGTCATTGTTTTTATCTGCCAAAGAGAACAACGTGTATCTGGTCTCAAGCGATTAAACCTTTCTCACTTTTCAATATGCCCTTTACATCTCAAACTTAGGAGAAAATATCTAAATGAATGCCCTGGTTTTGTTATGCTTTTAGTTTATACATTTTAGTTATTTTTCTATATGTTGAACAGGATTTGTATAATAAGGCACCTGTTTTGTTGGCATCAAGTTTGAATCTCCCGCAGGGATTTAAGAGTTTTTCCTCGCTAATGCAGGAGGGTCTAAGGACAGTAATGATGATACGTGACAACATTTACGGACTTTGTCAACATTTCTGGACATTGGTCGTTGTTATGCAGTTTTTTAAAAGTAAATTAAAAGGAAATTTCAGTGTTGCATCACCGGTTACAAAACAGTAGAAATTAGGAGCCCACAACACAAGATAAATGAACAATAACTCTATACTAAAATCAAATAAAATCTCTAACTATGCCATTATAAGGAAGCTGTCTTTAGCATAAACAAGAACCAATCTGTAGCCATAATAAGCTTTGTAAAGTCCTCCGAGAAAACTACTGCCGTTATTTATATATTTAGTTTCAATTTAGGACATGACAATACATCACATAATATAAATACATTCAAAATAATTGTGGGCTTGTCACACAAATGAAAAGGAGCAGAAAAGAAGAAAACAAATCTTATGTTGCCTGCCCCTTTCTTAAACCGTGTAAAATATAATAAAATAAAAATGGCTATTACAAAATACAAAAATATATTGGATTGAATTGAAATTAAAAAAGTGTGGTCTCAAGTTTAGAGCATAGACTGCTTTCCCTTCCCTCTCGTCCCCCGAAGGCTTGCTCGCGCGTTGCTCTCTGAATACCTGGCAACCCCCGAGCCTGGGCCGCCGCCGAGAGAAAGGCGAAGTGAAGGAGGAGTGAGGCAGTGGAGACCCAGGCACCAGCAGCAGCAGCACCACAACCAACACACACTCTCATACACACACCGGGGAATCTGCACCCGCTCTGGAGCCACACTGCACCCACACTGGAACCTACAACCTCCATTATTCTCCACACGGAACACTGACGTACGAACCAACAGCTGGAATGAAGGGGAGGGGGCAAAGGCAGCCGCGGCACTACTGACCAAAACTCCCCTGAAGGATTTTGTACGCGCACGCATCCAGCCAGCCCTGTCACCCGCTCTCAGCCGCAGTAAGTACTCCACACGGGCACCAAGTTGCAGTTACAGCCCTGGGAAATGGACGAGTTTGATGGGGAACTTTGTGGGGGATATTGAGCCCCTTGGAAAAGATAGGCCGTGACGCACAGCTTTGCGCGCTCTGACGGCTGCTGCTGTTGTAATAGTAGAAGGGGGGACACATTTTTCTTTTTACGCAAGAGCTGTGTTTGCTTGCGCTGGTGTATGTGGTAAAGTTGACAGCTCTGTTCGCTTTGGTTAGCCTGATGCTAACCATTTGCCCGTGGAGCAACCGGTGACACCTGACAGGGCAACTTTGACAGCTAACTAGCCAGTTTTGTGGCTAACTTTAGCCGTGCGCTGCGCCAGGGCTTCCCTCCTTGGATAACACCAAGTTTTTTGGCTTCCTCGCGTGGATATATTGAGCAATCCCGCTTATTTTTGTAGCTACAGCGAGCTTGATGTTTGGGGTTTCAGTCGCAGTATCCGGCATGTGTTGATACATGGTTGGATTTCGGCGTTTCCACCGTGTGCGCTGGAGGTATTCGGGATCCACAGCTGTTGCACCGTGTTGGCTCGACTGTCAATCGCTCCGTTTCTCGAGCTCTTGGCAAATTCCTCTTTGAAATACCGATATTTCTGTTGCAAAAAAAGGCAATTTAGAAGGAGAGGAAGGCGTGTGTGTCGGGCATGTGCACGCTCGAATTCAACAAGTGCTAAGCATGTTTGGCTCATTTGGGCTCGCGTCAGTGGGCTGTTCCGTGCCATTAGATGAGACGACACAAGCGGCGTTTTGGCATGAAATATGAGTATCTTATCTTCGCTTGCACAACATAACATACAACAGAAGAGCGTTAATTGAGGCATTTACACTCGTTGGTATTCACAAATGCTTCGTCTCTCATTAATGTGTCAACTTAACGAGTGGATACAATAGAAAATGTAGCTGTAGATGAGTGGATTTTCCCCCAAAACCAAACCAAACCACGCTCCAGCTCACAACATGCCCCTAGCTTTAGTCAGCACCCGCAATCAAAAGGTCGACCTGGTTTACTTGTTAATCACCCATCCTTTAAATAGCTGGCATTCAGTGGGCTGTCTGGATGATGCTATTTGCTGCAGCATAGCGGGCTAAAGATACGACTGAACAACATCTATTTGTAGAGTTACACTTTTTAGTGAATATTATAGAGCAGAATGCATGGTAATTACTGCACAAGATATGATCTAACAAACAAAAAATGCATAGGACCAAATTCAATGTTTGTTTCTTGCCAATAGACAGAATATGTAGATTTTCATAGGTTCTTTTGTGAATGTTTCAAATCATTGTCATAATAAAACTAATGATGATAATACTACATGTTCTTTTTTTGGGAAAAAAATACACAAATATTTGTCTCTTATTGTCTGCCTTTTCTATCCAAGTTATTGCTCTTGCTTTGCACTAGCAATGCTTACTAGTTCTACAGGTAGCACAGTGGAAGTTACTTGTCTTAGCATCAGTGTGAGCTCAGCTCTTGAGGAATTGGTCCAGAGTGCAGCTTCTGATTCATGCACATATCTCTATCAAACCACAGTCAGTTCCTGTTTTTTGACAGAGCAGAATGAAGCTGGTAGTCTCTGTGTATAACTTGAATGAATGTTGGTGTTGAGTTTAAATGCATGATATTCTTTTCACTATGAAACATATGTTTGTCTAAATGTTTGAAACATATATTTGTTATAATGGATCACTCGATTAATCAAAAGTGATATCAATGATTCGACTACTATAAAAATCATTAACTTCAGCCCTACCTCTTGTTTTATTGTTTATCCATTTTGCATTTTGTTAAATTTCTGACATTCTTGGCTTGTTTTTCACAAACCTGGCTTCTTCACTGTTTACTCAGTGTGTCTTTTGTTAACGGGGTATTGAATGAACTTAAGCAGCGAAGATTACACATCTGCTTACTTTCACACAAACCATTTACTAAGTGTAAATGGAAGGATGTGATACATCTCCTCGTTAATGGTGCGTTTTAGCCCGTAGTGCTCTTTGTAAAGTCTATTGCCTAATGTTTTCAAAGCGTGACACCTTCCCCTCAAAGGTCTCCCTGTGCTCAATGTGGGTAAATGGTGTATTGTATTCTGAAGAAAATGATACACTTGGTTCATGTAATACTTCGTTTGCAATACACCGGTTCAACTCGAGTCAGAACAGCGTGGTTTACCCACATAAACATGCAGGAACAAGAAAAGTTAGGTGTGCACAAGATGCTCCTACAGGAAGGATGGGTGTATCATATCCATATTTTTCTTTTACCGCATTATTCAAATAGCCTGCAATGCAAATCTGAATACTGTTCCAGAATCCCCCAGGCCTCGATCACAGCTATATTGAAACAGTCGGCTGATTGTCATAACTTAACATGCCACAGGCTGAGAGATGTTTTATTACTTTACATTTGTAAGTTTGGTATTTTTGTAGTTTGGTCGTTTTGAAATACTCACAAAATAAGTTCTAAAGTAGATTACTGAAAGCCTAAAAGGATTTTTTTGTATTATTTGTGAAATAAGTAAATGTGGTTTAATTCAGAATAGATAAACGTATATTTTACTAAATTTACTTTGTGGACAATTGACAGAATTCTATTCTTGTCATAGTATGAACTGGGCAGTGGCTGATGGTCAAGTGTAAATATTGAAAGAATCTAAAATGTTGTTGTTGTGTATTCAGCCAGTGGGTCTGTGGTGAGTTCAGTCTCTCCAAGAGCTTTTCTAATTTGTCCCCTTCTTGAAGTGATTATTCAAATTGTCGTCTGTGAGGCAGTTATCAGACTCCTGTGGTCGTTGGGCCTGTGGCAACATGAATGATCCTTGAAAAACCTCTTCTTCACCCCCCTCATTATACTGTGTGGTTGGATCAGGCCCAACAGGTAACGTTTGGGCAATCAGGGGTTTGCCTGAGGATGGAAGACGGTGTTCTGAGGAGAGGCAGGTGGATCAGTTAGTGAGAACGTTATGGTCGTCCTTAGGGATGCCACAATCTCACAAGATTACATTTCCAATAGATGCACACAAGTGGAATATGCCAAAAAAGTCAGTCTCAACTATAATCACAAATACTATTTATAACAACTATTTTAGTCATTGATTTATCTCTAACTGCTCTATAAACGTATGTGCTCAGTGATTTTAAAATTTAACCAGAGCCAGAACAAATTAATTAATGATTGATCTGTTCAGGGGTGTTACTTCAGCTCAATTTAAGTCAAATAATGTTATTTATTTATTTTTGTATTTTATATTTTTTTCTATATCAAGGGCAGAAGCAGCGCCCATTAAGATGGAAAACTTTGTTTTCAAGGGAGTCCTAGTGACACACATTTTTAATGGTTTAAATGTCACTGCTCGTCTTTCCTCTGGTAATGTGGCATGTGAAGCATTAAGGTGTGTTTGTGGTTTCTGTCAATGTTGAATCAATCATTATGGAAAAAGAAACTCTTACAGTGTCATCGTTAGCCTTAGAAGGTCGTCCTTATTACTTTCTCTTGTTTATGGCTGAACCAAACCCAAAAAGTTTGATTATATTTATCTTTTGCTTCCCATGTTTAGGAAGAGAACTGATCTGTCAGACCCTTTCTTCTGCGGGCCACACCTCCCTGATTCAAATTTGAGCTGTTTTGGCATTGCATTGTGCTGGCCTGCTGCACCATGTTAAGGCCTCTTTATGTGCCCGATCACAGAGGGATAATTGCACTTAAGTGAACCTCATTTAGAGCTGGCCAGAGCAATTACTGTAACCGCACTTCCAGGCGTTTTTCACCCGTCGCCTGCATTGATTCACGCCGTCTTCGGTATCATATGGTGAATAGGATGACATCGGCGCACCATCATGGGACTGACAGATCCTTGGAGGGATTTTAATTAGTTTCTTTCTCCTCAAATCATCCCCTCTTTTTACAGAAAATAATTTAAAATTGCAATTAAAGAGGTATTCTTCAAATGAATGAAAATAAATACATTCTCAATGTGTTTTGAAGTGGGAAAATCTATAAAATAAGAAACCATTATCGCCTGTTTTTCAGGTTCAGAAAAACTAAATTGGTTAAGTTTATTTTGCTATCGAGTGTACTCAGATGCATTGTTAGGTTTCTTAATTAAAGTATACATGAATCAACTTTTAGGTCTTTGCCCATTGTTCTGAGATGTATATAAAATTCTGAATCTGATTACCGCTGTTGATCTTCCCTTGCTAATGGGGATGAAGCAAATCCAAAATCTCACTTTAGTGTATAATATGGATTTTGAGATATTGTGGGGAGGTTCACTGTTTTATAAATGGCCCAGACCCTTGTGTGAAGCGCAGCAAACTACTGTTGTGTGGCATAGTAAGACATTGGAGGAGCCCTCTGCACCGGGAGCAGTGGTCGGTGTGGCTGCGGGGGTCGGACTCTTGGGCCTGGTGGGGGCCTGGGGCCTCGGTTTCATGTCTCCTCTGGGTCCTGTGTCGTCCCCTGTGGCTACGGGCGGCTCTCTGCTCCTGGTGCAGACGGCTCCTTGGATGACGCTTTTTCAGCTGGTTGCATCTGAACCCTGCCAAGTCTCTCATCATGTTTTTATTGTTTTACTGGTGTGTGTGTGTGTGTGTGTGTATGAGTGTTCATGAGCGCGTGTGTGTGTGTTTGTCTGTGGTTTGGGGGGGGTCTGTTGGGTGGTCTGGGGGAGGGGTCTTGGGTCGGCGGGATTGTTTTTAACCAATCTGTAAAGCACTTTGTGTTGCATCTTATGTATGAAAAGCGCTTTATAAATAAAATTTGATTGATTGATTGATTCCTCCTGTAAGGTTTTTACCGGACGAGACTTCCTTTTGTGGTTTGTTTCGCCATGTTGATGTTTGGACAATATTACGGATACTTGCTGTTTTTAATATTGTCAAATGTATTTATTACTAAAACATGATGAAACTGTTAAGCTCTATCATCTGCATGGTCACC